ATGTGAAAATTAAATCCTCTTTGGGCGCAGGCGCTGCCGGTCACCTTCCTCCCCTCCCATCCCCGAACGCCAGTCAATGCCATCTGGGGCAGGAAGGGACAGGAGCAGGAGGCAGGCAGTTGCGATAAAGGCAGAAGGAGAAGGCCCCGCCAAACGCACATGACGATAAATGGCACTGAGTCCTCCCGGTACGTAGCGACCCCGGCATGTCGCATTTCGAATTCAACCAGGCCATGCGTCGCTTATGTAATGGGTACTTTCTACACGGTAAAGTGTAAGGTATCTTAGGAGGAAAGAAGCCAACCGCTTAGGTAAGGGGTCCAAGGGAATCTGGACTTGTCACCGCCACCACAACCACCACAACCACCACACGACAGGCTGCTCCGACTTTGACCACTTTGGCTTCAAAATCCGCCTCGGCGGCCATATTCTCCATACCCCATGCAAATGCAAAGCTGCATCCCCCAAAGTCCAAGCCCGTTTCGTACTCCAGCCTAGCCAGCCTGGCCAAATCAACAATGCTTATGCCATATTCGTACCGATACCAGTATCCCTGGCCATCTCAGCACATATGCGGAAACAGCTCGATGCCACCAGAACCGACAACACTGGTCGATATCAGCCACAACATGCCCAATGTCGGACATAGTCCCACACAAATCACAAGCTGTGTTCTTGCGTCTAGCGCCTCAAGTCCGGGAATCGTCAACATTGGTTGATACCAAACCTAGCCTCAAACATTTCAGTATTCCGATATCCCTCTCGACTTGAGTTGGCTTGGGGCTGTTGCTTCCACCGTTGATCCAGTCTCCCCTACACGGTAACATCAGTCTACCAGGCCGCTTGCTGGCTCGGTGTTGTACGGTTGAGCTACCCTGCGTGCCTGCTCATGCCGTGTCCAACTAGCCTCATGTAGACCGCCCGACTGCCGCCATTTCAATGGCATGTACTCAGAGTCTCAGACTCTTCACTCACTTGGAACTCACCACCACCCCCTTTCACCCTAAGCTTGGACACCAGGTCTGCAGTCGTCCAACCAACGACGCTGGGGCATGCCGCATTCCTCATCTACACCCCTAGGCCTCAGCAAGCTGCATGACAGAGTCCGTCGGTTGCTCGCTTTCTTTTTTCTTCCCTCGGCCACAATCACATCAGCCCTTCTCTCCCCTCGACCTCGGCCTCGGCCTCGGTTGCGTCCAGATTATGGCTGAGACTCGTCCACTTCTCGCCTTTACAGCCCAAAGGAGAGCGGTTACTGCCGAGCCATCTCTTACTCCGAACTGCGCTCATGTCACGCCCGATGCAAGCTCCATCGGGACGTCTCACCGGTGCACCTCAATTTTGGGTGACCGTCACACCGCGCTGGGAATGATTGAGGTCAGCTCCTCGAGGGGCTAGGCATTGGCTTTCTCGTCTGATCTGATCCCTGGGTCGCGGCACTCGAAGTTGACTTCGGAGAGTCTGCCGCACCGGAGCACCGGCCGGTCCATCTAGCGCTACCCTTGTGTCACTTACTGCGAATCCGTCCACGACACCCCTCAGGCAGATCATCAACTCAGGTTTCGGTTTCCATTGCATCTCGCCAACCAACGCCCAGTCCGGCCAGGCTCGTGCCACATATCCGACATTGACAATGGTGTCCGTCAGTCCTGCACCCACTACTCCATCTAACCTAATCATGTTTTGGATTTTCCTCCTTCTTCTTCCCACCTAGGAATACTGCTGCTGGTGGGTTCCAGGGATTCGACAAGTCTCAGCTGCCCAGTCACCCAGTCACATTAATTGTTTGATACGTTGATAAGCCGGCCATACCGGTATCAGAGAAAATATCTGTCTTTGGTGGTGTGGGCGGTCGAGGTCCTCTACACTAGTACAATGCTCATCATGGCATAGCAAAAGCTAGTTTGACGAGCAAGTTGGATAAGATCCCCACCGCGGAACAGGACCTTCCACTCCCGATTGCTTCGTGGCCCCCGTCACATTTGGAGAGAAGTCTGGTCAGATGACTCGCATCGTCCGTGACCGCAAGCTTTTGACAAGACCTCTGTTCCAGCAATGTTCGCGACCAGTGAATATGACGGGCTGTGGCAACAAGGGGGACTGTATATGCGATGCGACAGAGGTAATGCCGTCTCCTTCCGTTCCCATGAAATGACACTATCAGTGATTGACTGCACAACAACCACTCCCCCCATGCAGCCAGTCGGGACTAAACTCCAAATATCGAAGTGTTTTAACCCCTTCCTGGACCCGGCATGCACGTCTTGAAAACCCATCTCATTTTTCTCTCTCAGCCCCAGCAGCTCTCAATTTGTCGCATCTGCAAGGACAGCCAATGTCGAAGGAGGATGACGAAGGGATTTGCAGGCACTCTTTCCCTCACTTTTCTTTCTTCCTTGCTTGCCATTCATTCCTACGCAGTACGCACATTTGCCCACAGCAGGGGGACACCGCCCCCCCCCCGAAGGACGAATCCCCGTTTGCTCCAATTCACCCCCTATTCCTGGTTTAGCCTCGTTCCTGCTTTCGTCTGTGGGCGCATCACAATGGGGCAACAGGCCCGTCGCAGCGACTCAGGCAGAACACGCTGAGTGATGGCGACTCCCCACTGGCACATGAAAGCCTCTTCTCATTGGCAATCGTGAGCCTCTAACCAGCTTTGCTAAGAAAGACCGTCCGTAATTTTGGCGCACCGGAGCCTGCCCCGCGCTGATCCGACTATTGGCACACCTTAAAGAAGTGCTGGTGCCTTTGGGCTTCGTGCCTCCACACGAGTCCCCCGCCCGCCGCCGACGCTGGCGTGACACCACGAACGTATCCGTACCTCCGTCCGGTCGTCCCGGGAGCACGGAGTGCTGTGGGCGTTCGCTTTGCGAAATCAACCCTCGTTCGACTGGCTGAGCCTGATCTGCCCAAGTAAAATATACAATCAAAGTGGGCTTCTACGCAAGGCGGCATGCAGGCACCAAGCATTACTTTGTCTCGAATGTGTGCGCAAGGTGTACGACTTGATCGTCCATCCACTATCAGGTGCCCGACGTCAGTCTCCACTGGCGGCACTGCGAAGGTGATACGGGCTTGAGATGAGGATTGCCTCTGGTGACGATAATGACGAGCACGCGGTACTTCGCCCACTGGCCTTGTGCTTGCTTATGAGTGATGCAAGTGAATATAGATGCTATACAGCGCATCTGTTTGAGTTGGCTTTTTGAAGTGGTTTACGGTACAGTGGACCGTAGAGTGCATCTTGCCATCGGCGGGGAGGACCATCCTGCTCCAGATCTGTGATCCGAGCATGAGTGGTCTCCTACAGTCAACCCGGAGTTGTGTGACAACCACACCCGAAGGCCTGATCATCAAATTTCCAAGTGGCCTCAAGAGCAGGGATTCTCTGTAGCTAAATGAGCTGAACGTGCTCGATGATCTTGACGTTGCACATAGCAGCGTTCGGCAGGCCTGCCTAAGTGCCATGTATTGCGTGGTTATTCAGTGACTGGGACTGTATGTACAATTGTCCCACACCTATCCGATGCTGGTTTGTTGGCTTGACTACTGGCGCATGCGACCCGCAACTCTGTAGAAGGTCAGGAGGATTCGAGCCTTTATAAGAAGTTGACTGTTCCTGTGATGGTCACAGGAAGACCTCGATGAATCACTTGCCAAGTCAAATTACCTTGCAGAACCCCTTTCCTGTGCCGCGCCACACCAAGGATATAGCTGTCGTGAGCGGCAACAGACGATGAGATCCCCAGAAATGCAAAGGACGACTGGATGACATTACACCTTACTTGAAGGAATCCTCGCCTGCGTTATATCCACCGCAACTCTTTCCAATTCCTCTTGCGAGTGATCAAAGCGCGATGACACCTTTGAGTAGCTGGAAGGTATCATTACACGTTCTTGCCGTGACTTTGAGAAGAAGAAGCCTGATCTCGAGTGGCTTGATGGTGCGCGTGCGTCCTTCGTCACGAGCTTGTGGGATAATCTCACCTCCTTGGTCACTGGATTGTAGTGCTTTACATGCCAAGTCGGCGATAGTCAATTCCGACTTGTGCTCAAAGGAACCTTTGGGCCCGCGTTTCTGGTTGCCATTGAGTGATCTCGGAGACATCTACTCTCACCAGCCTTTACGGTGATTGACACTTCCTGGTATAAAGTTGGCAAGTTACGTGACGCTGAACGAGGCCTACTTTGGACCCCCTGGATGAACGTGCTGAGTTGTCCAGAGGAACACGATTTAGCCTACCTCAACTACACCAGCTCTATTCATTTCACTTGAACTTGCGGCGGTACACCTGGCAGAATCTCCGTCACATCATACTTATCAATCTAAACGACGTATTGAGAGAGCCATCCATCCCTACGTCTAGCCTGAGTCACAGTCTGGTCATCAACCATCAGCCAGTTCAAATAACCCCAGCTCGCTCTCGCACGGCATATATGTATTTCATGTCCTCGGTGAACGTCTTAATTCTCTGCGATCAGAAAACTATCCGAAGAAACGATTTGCCCATCAGCCTGGACAATTCCAAACTCCAAGTCGTAGGTATCAAGAAGTTCCACCAAGAAAAGCGAGGTTCGCTTTTTCCTCCGACAAAATTTTCAAATTGAAGAGAGACGACATGAACAGAGGGCGTTTCGAAATATCAATACAAGTGTCCCTCAAGACAGTCCTTTTTGCATCTTCCAGACATCAACCTTGTTTTGTTTGCTCCTACGCGTGGACTCTCTTTTGACGTTATGTTTCCTTTGACAATGTAATTGTAAGCTTTGAAGAGCATTGTACTAAGAAAACAGAGCTTACGGGTTTAGACCCCTGTTTTCAAAAAGAAACAGGAATCATACAGGCGTTGGGGAAGAGCATTGGGCGAACATGAAGGAAACCCAGGTCCGAGAATTTCTGAACCTACTTTATATAAATGGTCCAATGTACATGACGGTGCATGGCCAGGCAGTTTTGTTTTCAGTGTGGAAGTTACCGCAACTACAAGTCTAGCACGATGTCGTACAGAGAAGAGGTGCAGAATCTCTTGAGCCTCAAGGGTGATCTACATACAGACGAGGGCCACGTCGGGGACGAGCCTGGCTTTCGATTATTGCGAGACGGTCGCAAATATATTCTTGGAAACGATGCTGACGGCATTATAGATGTAACATTTGTTAGACTTGCCCACCTCGACGCTTCTCGGGAACAGAAGCTCGACAAGATTGCAGCGCAGATGATCAAGCCTTCCAAAGAGGCGTCTTGCGTAAGTTTTAGTCCCCCCCGGTCATGAATGAGCTGCTGATGAATACTTCACGTAGAAAACGATTGTCAGGTATCTCGACTATCTTCCAAAAGAGAAGACTTTTATCGTCGAGAGAATCCCCATGCAAGGATCATGGTGACCTGCGAGAGGTTACTTCCAGGACAAGATAGTTCTCGACGTGGCATGGGACCTCCTTCTCGCGCTCGCGTACCTTCACGGGACAGGAACGGCACACGGAGACGTCCGGCTACCCAACGTCTTTCCCTTTCCTCTGGAAAACTCACGCGTTCGCTACAAGCTCTTTGGGCACGGCTTCGTTCCCGAGGTTATCAGCCACCAGTTGCGGGACGCCGGCTACCTGGCTCCCGAGTTTCGTTCACGAGGCAAGTGGTATGATTTCAGTACGACCACAAAGCCAACGCCTGAGTCTGACGTTTGGATGCTGGGAATGGTGCTCTGGCACTGTCATCATTTCGGGGTTTACTACAGCGGCCGCCGCTCTGCCAGGGAACGGTGGGATTCAGACATCCTTGTCCAACCTGACCTTACCGACGGCTCAGAAGACGGCGTCGATTCCTTGGAAACTCGAAATCATGGCTGCAAGCCCTCTTCCCATCGTCTTGTGGAGGACCTGCTTCATAAGATGCTCATTCCAGACCCTAACCGACGATGGAGCGCCGCGGATTTGCTGGAGGAGCTGAAGCTGCAAAAGTGCTACACCGGGGAGGAAGGTGACATGGAGCAGGACTTGAATGACCTGCAGCCTGCTCTCAAGGGTGAGAAATATGATATCTGGAGAAAGGCGATGGCCAAGGCGAGTAGGGTGACATGCAAATCTTGGACAGGTTTGAGAGGGTGTATCTTCTGGCTCACTTTCTTCTTGATAGTTTTGTGAGGACATTTGTTTCTCGGGTAGTGTTGAGGACTTGGAAAGGAACTTGACCTTTGTTGGAGTCATGCTTGTCTTATCCGGTCGTTGGGTTTAAAGGATAGATTCACGAAGCCTCTCTCGCAGAGCGACTTTGGAACTATTTGTCTTGCTATCTCTAGCGCCACCCTCATCTCTGCCTCGCAGTGCAGACGTGATCGACCAAATGGCTCGTTAAACGTGTTGATCAATCATTTTGGTATACCAGGATCAGGCTGTGTATGATATATGGACTGGATATTTAGTTGGCTATCAGAATTGAGACGGGAATTCCTGCCCGAAAAGCCACTTGACAAAGCCCTGCCATTAAGACTTGGATAAGAAAGGCTGTGATATACAGCCAGGCAGGAACAATAACACCTTTCTGGTGGTGAATCGGAGTTTGTTCAGACTACTGATGATACGTTGAACCAGACAAATCGATGGGAATAACCGACTTGATGTAAACAGGGCGTCTCGTATCGACACCTAGTCACCAACAGGATTAAGCAGCTGTCATGGAACTTACGCAATGATGGTATGTATAACACCACAGAAACTGATCGTACCAAAATTAACTCAGCGTGGCCAGCTTTCGGTGGCGGAGTATCTCACGATATCCATCAAAACAATAGAATAAGACGTCAACAAATTGGCATAGAAAGTCTAGGCGATCTACTCACAGAAAGTAAGCAGCCCCGACATGTCTACGGACGTAGCCTTCGGTCCATGCTAGTGTCTCGCGGCAAAGAATACCTTCAACAAGCCTTCTTCTTTCAGCGCTTGTCAGTGGATTCCACTCTCCGCCATCCTATAAGCTTTTGATGGAACAGAAAGGTCGCTGAGGGAGAAAATTTGGTATCGCGACGAAACGCATGGATGACGTCGAGCCTCTGAATCTGGAGAGTGGACTGAAGAGAGCCGACTTGCTTGTAAGCACAATACTGTTGGAAAATGAAATACGGCTCATCGCGAAACTGGGGTCGTTTGAATCGTTTACCTTCTCGATCGCGTGCCAGGTGATCTCATGACGTACCTCACATACATGTACGATATAGTGGACGACCTGATACTCGAGTGAGTCCATTGACTCAATCTACCGTGGTGTATAGCCATCATTAGCCTCGTAATACCGAACCTCAAGTCTTCACCCGTGAGAACAGCCATCGCTCTAGACCATACCTACGTGTCGTCGCACCGGTCGGCCTCACGACGCATTGGCCAATCGCCGCCCATCACGTCGCAACCACGCGCCAACTAGTCTGGCTCTAAAACCTCACCCACTTCATCATTTGCCCATCTCCTACTGAGTCTCACTCGTATCGAACACAATCTGAACGGCCAACACCCCCTCCAACGGAAGACGATGAGGTCCAGGCCTCGCTATCACTCGCCTCCAAACCAAGAATTTACGTTCCTCACCCGGGCAAAGTCGCAATGCAGATGTCCATCGAATCACCCGATTGCCACTTGTCACAAAGCCCCAGCGGCTCTACATCCGAGGGATCAACTCAATGGCTTGAACGGAGGCGAAGAAGCAAAAATACCGAGCGTTCTTCCGATAAGCAAGCAGACGATTGACCGAGTGAACCGCTAGGAGAGTGAGGGAGGAGAGAAAAGGGTATTCGTATGCACACACACACACACTCTCTCTCTCTCCAAGACTTACCGCGGGGTCCTCTGTGCATCAGAGTTTCGGGGAGCGAATCCGAGCCAAGGAAAGCTTGTCTCGCACTTCCCCGTCCATCTGCATACAACGTCCAAGTGGCATCACAACCACACCGCGGTTTCCCCGTCTTCCAAGAAGAAGCGTTCAAATCTTCTCCTCTCATCCTCATTGGGTTCATTTCCACGCAAGCTCGCCAGATTTTGACTCGATTACCCTCACGTCGTACGAAGGAGATATGGCGCGCAGTGTCGAGTGAACTACGTGCTTCCTTTATCTCTCCCACCCCATTGTAGTCTTCTACAATGCGCCTCTCGGTCATCCCTCAGGCTCTCACCGACTCTCAGACCATCCGATAAAACCTCCCTCTCACCCAAACCCTTCGCCTCCGTCCTCCCATAAATCTCACCCATCAAACCACGTCCATTTCCATCCGACCCTTTCAACAACTCAATGCCTAAACCGCCCCTTCGTTCGCCTCTGCGTCCAAAATCTTGACTCGCCCGTCTCGATTACCCCCCCTCTTCATCCCGCAAGAAAAATCCCTGTGTTGACGGCATCGTCCCGAGCCAGCCGTAGACCGGACTTGTTTCTACCCATCCATCTGCTGCTCCCACCCATTGCGCAAGCCAAGTCGTTTGTCTACGGCAGAATTACGCACAGCCGCCGTCGGCGCAGTCCCGCAGTAGGCTGTAGGCTTACGCGGTAGTGGGAAACTCGCTGCACTTTCTGCGTGACCACCACCAAGAAACCCGAGGCCAGCTAGACAACACTCAAGACCGACGTGCCGGGTTGACCCTCGCTCGGACGATCCCAGCTCCTGAGAGTTCGGGCCCTGATACCGGGGGGAAGAGCCCAACAAGCCGGCTCAGAGTTTCATTTGCTTTCGTACCGCCTACTAGCTTTTCAATACGGGCTCATCGTCATTTACATTCATTAACTCTTGTTCTCCTACTCCGGGTGCACCCTTATTCCTTTTCTGTGTCGACTCCGGCTCAAACCGTTAAGTGTCCCAGGTTCCTGCCCTGAGCTTTACAAAATCAAACTCCTGTCTCACTCGTCGGTCCGGATTCATTGACGGCGGCGACACACCCGAGGAAATCTCACCCCGATAGCTCACTCTTAACTCACTCACCACTTCACATCACCGCGCATGTCTCAGTCTAATAGTAGCCACCGCAGTCGCGCCCTCACCAAAACAACCCGGTCAGGAGACACCACCATGGCCCGGACACGGCGCTCCTACTCTCCATCCTCCCGGTCACGCTCCTCATCCGCCGGGCCCCGTAATCACCACAAAAAGCCCGGCATAAAAACTGCGGCGGTCTTCATCGCCGCCATCGCTGTCGCCTCCCTCGCCGTCCACAAGCTCTGGCCACGCGGCATTATCCACTCTGAAAAGGAACACTGGGAGCACTCGCCCAGCGGCCGCCGGTGCCGCCGACGCAACGCCATACGGGATCGTCACAATGGGTATATCGACTACGACGACCACAATGTGTGGGACCGTAACGACTATCCCCGCGACCGGCGGAGACTCCCCGAGAGGGAGTACCATCCTCCTCGTAGCCGCGGAGGCGGTCGGGCAAGGGGCTATGGAAGCGAGAGCGACGGGGATTCGTACTATTCTGACGACTACCTCCCAACCCCGAGCGAGCGCTTCCGTGAAAGACGGCCTGGAATCGAGGGGGATGGCCGAGGGCGATTGCGCGGAATCGGGGCGGAGGGAGAGAATGAGATTGTGAGATATGAGAAACAGTCGAACAGATCAGAGGCGGACAGGAGTCGATTAGTGGAGGAGCGTCTACAGAAACCTCGTTATAATGAAGCTGTGGAGGACTGGAGCCGGCGCGGTGGTCAACGATTGCCGTCACCTTCCGACGATCGGCGTGGTTTTAGGGGTGAGCCAGAATACGAGGATCGGAGGTCACGGAGGAGGTCTGATTATTACTAGACGTATGAACTCATGTTGACGCCAGGTGACAGCGACTCAGTCGCAAACGTCTGAACCAGTCGGTAAATCAAAGGCATGTGCGATGCATGGTATTCATGATATGCTATTTGGCCACGTTTTGAGAGCCTTGTTTCCAGCCAATTCTAGTGCCATCCCGATATGTTTCTTCAACTGCGCCAAACCACGCTCTTTTTCTGCATAGCTTCCCCCAAATGCAACTTAATCATTAACTTCATCTATTCCGTGGCAGTCGACACAAGAGTGTTGTCTTCTTCCACGGAAGGCTCGCTTTGAGCCACCGGACTTGGCGGTTGCTCCATCGAGCTCATAACCTCATCCACAGCGGCTTGCCAGCCTTCTCCCGCAGTCCGCATGACCAGGGTTGTGCTGATATCAGCGACAAAGTAGTTCTCCTTGCGCATGTTGCCGCGCGCCACACCCTCCAATGCCGAATAGGCGGCACGAGTACTACGCATTCTTTTACCTGGCCTGCCGCCTTCACTCAGTAGACCGCTTCGCTGCATACGATTCTGCATGAGGCGATGGTCATAGCTGATAATGCTGCGCACAAACGGCGCTACTTCGACAGTAATCATGCGCATAGTGCGGTCAAAAACCGATGGCTCGAGACTGGTGGATACTGTGGCCGCTGCCTTCTCTGAGACAGCGATAGGATCGAAAGCCGTGGCCATATCATAGCGGTTGATGACCTCTTCCCTGGGAGGAGTGGCGAAGAACTGTCCCATCTGACGGATTGCGCTGTTCTCTCGAAAACAATCCAACTTGGCTACCGTGCCGTCTCGTAAGGGCACGGTTTGGAGAAGCTGTCGAGCGGCGCATTTGAGACCAGTGGCGATGGTGGTGGCTGTTAAGGTGTAATCGATTTGAAATGGGGCTTCGAGCAGGCGCCGACCCAAAACGAGGTCGTCGCGTGTTTTGATAGGAAGGTCTGGTTGCGTAGGATCGAGGGGTTCCTGTGTATGTGTCAGCCGCTATCGCCAGATTTCGTGCGCTATTCAGTCTCCTTGCCTGGAACTTGAGCCCAAAGTCTCCACCAGAGCAGAGATCCGCTGCGCTCATGAGATCAGAGAACTCAGAAAAAATGTCTAGCGCGACAGTTCTATCACTGGCCGAAGAAGTCACAACGTTGTCCGCCCACGATGCCATGTCAAGGGAGTCATGCCAGTTGCTTAGGTCCATTCCCAAGCCTTGCCAGCATTGGCTCACCAACTCTTCTTCAGCAGCGCGCGCGCTGGGAACCACTGCTCGGTCACGGCTGATCCATCCCATGCCCTCCAAATATGTTCCCTCGCTGACCACACGCACGACATCACCGTTCTCGTCTTTGTCGCAGCCTGTTGGCCATCGCGGGTAGAACCAGTCAAAGCCGCCTCGACGGTCGCCGACTCCAAGCTGACACCAGTAGTTGAGCTCCATCAAAGATGCTCGGAGGTCATTACCCTTTGATTCATAGAGCGCGCTCACCGCTGCTCGACTAAGAGCATGGCCTTCGTTGGCTGCAACGAGCAAAAGTACATCGACCGCCAAGAGTGCTGGTGGTGGTGTGAAGCGGAGGATACCATACAGCATGAAATTGTGGAATGGAACGAGAGTCTCGTCGTTGCAAGTCATTACAAATGGTCTCTTGGACTGCGCAACTAGGTTCATGATAGTCGCCCAAAACTGCTTGTCCTCTTCGTAGAGGAGATCGACCTCTTCAAGGAGAATTAACGACTGCTTTTGGTTCTGGACCTTTGCTTTTGCTGACTTGGGTGCCTCGGACGGCTGGTCGATCGCCTTGGGCAGGGGTGCCGCCTCTGGTTTGGATGCCGCCTTCAGCTTGAAAAACGAGGTCATGGTGCCCTGCTTGCCAGACTTGATGTCCTTCGCTGTGTTGTCATCGGCGTTGTCCCCAACGTCACCCTTGCCGCCTTGGCGGTTGTGCTGAACAAGGTGATTTTGCGTCATGTCTCCAATCCTCTCCATGACATCCTTGCCGTTGCGGCGACTGCTGGCGTTGATCTCAAAAACCTCGAAGCCAAGCTCCTTTGCAACGGCATAGACAGCAGCCGTCTTGCCACTGCCATGAGGTCCACTAAGAACGACTGCATTGGTAAGCCGACTTGCATCCTTGGCAATATCTCGGCGGACTACCGTCTTCTTGGGACCACAATGAACAGGTGTCGGCAGCCATTCATCCTCGTCGTCCGAGACGGCAGGTAGGAAGTCTGCTTCATCACCATCTGAAACGACGAATCCATCTAGCTTTGCGCGCTTTCGCTTCTTCTTTGTCGCCGAACCAGGCTTCGTACCGGAGGCCTTCTGCTCTGCAGTAAGGACGCCTGTGTTGACTGATTGCACGGTCAAGGTCTGCAGCCACTCCTTCAACAGAGCGCCTTCTTGAAACTGAAGGATCTCTTCTCCGCAGATTGGTGCGTATTTTTGTGCCCATGGAAGCTCCTCACATTGCGACTTGTCAAAAGCTGAGAGATTGGTTTCCAGCATGTTGTAAAGGCGAGCAACTGCAGGATGGGGTTTGCGACTGGACGCAGTGAGCAACTCATCCTCGCTGTCTGCGCTCGTCATAACCGGCAGTACAGACCGGAGCTCTCGCTTGATCCTTTGTCGAAGCTTGCGACCGCTTTCAAAGTGCTTCTCAGGAAGGCGGAGCTCTGCAGGTGGTGGCTCGTAGTCGTCTATTGCCTCCTGGACGGATTTCTTGATACTCAGGGTATTTAATGACTTGGCAAGCTGGTCTATGACAGATTCTCCGGGGTAGATATTCGTAGTCTGACCCTTTGACTTTCGCGACGAAACCTGCGTGTCTTTGGCAACTGGGAGGCGCTCTTTCTCATCGGTTAGCCCCCTGACATGTGCCATTCCTTGGGCTGGCCATGCGGGATGGCGGGCGCCAGGAACCCTGAGACCCATAGATCGAACACCGAATTGTGGAAGCTGCACCTTGCCAGCTATTGGGACTGGTCGTTGCTTTCTAGGAGAGCATGGGGTTGATGAGAAGATAGTGGCTCTAGGTGGCTTGGGGTCAGCGGAAAGCGTGTCCGCCGGCTTCGCAGCCTTCTTTGATTTGCCGAGAAACAGGGGATGAGTTTCCTTCGTCTTCGATTTGTCCTGATCCGATTTGGGAGCCTTCGCACGAGGCTTCCTGGGGGTTATTTTCGTTGGAGTTGTGTCAAGTTTTGGAGGATGCGAGAGGATATGCTCGATTTTCGGGCCAATGCGTTCGCGTGACGCCGCATCAATTCCGTACTTGATGGTCACGACGCGAGAAGGCATGGATGGCGACTTGGATGACTTTGCGCCTTTGGATGTCTCTGCAGCGCTTGGCTTCGGCTTTGGAGGCGATCCAATTGTGCCGGTCTTTGGGTTGAATTTGAGCACCTTTGTAGGCTTTCTGAGTTCCTGTCCAGCACTAGGAGCTTCACTCGCCGCACTCGGAACCGTATTTGAAGGGCCATTAATCATGTTCAAAAGAGAAACCGGAGCCTGGTTTAATGGGCGGGTAGCCACGTCGATTGGCATCGGTAAGGGGAGAAGCGCTTGTGGTGTTTCGTTGGCAAGCGAAGTCGACGGTACGCCGTTAACCTGAGAAAAGAGGTTCGTTATATCAACGGATGGGATGTTTGGCTTCTTTCTGGGTCGCCCTCTTTTCTTCCCAGAGCTAGGAGCGTTACTAGCATCAGTCTTTTGCCTCTTGCGACCCTGTTCGTCCTCGCCTATGTCTGACGACTGTGGCTCAACATCGCTCGATGGTTGCTGGGATGCGCGTGCCTGCTTTCTAGATCGAACGGCTTTGCTCCTCAGGGCTATTTCTTCGACACTGTGAGACTGATCATCGGTACTCAAATCGGGTCTCGGGGCGTCGACGGTCTTTCCAGGGACAAAGAATGGATGAAGCTTTTTGGCGTGGGAGACGTCCAGCCCTTCTGGGGCCATATTGGCTACCAGAAGAGTTCCCATGAGACCATGCGATGCTATGGCTCCACGATGTTTTAGTAGGTAATCGCATCAAGATGGAGGGAGAAACGGAGGCGTCTTGAATGCGTGGAAATGGAGGCTTGGGAACTTACGCAAAAGCCGTCGCGCCTTCAGACTACGTCAGCGGGCATGCAACCAGGTAGGAATTGGGGAATAAAGAGATATGTGTACGAATCAAAGTCAGAAGGAGTGCAAATCCCCACGGAAGTGGCAGAAAGAGAGCATAACAGAGAGTCCACCCAGCTTCGAGAATGGCGGCGCAAACCGATGGGGGTGAGAAGTTGAGGTGGGTGAGTTGTCTATCGAGTGCACCAGTCGCGTGAGTCGCGTCTTCGAATCGCCGGGGGCAGTAGTGGGCGTGTAGCGCGACGGCCATTACACTTAACATCCTGGACCCACCTGCATCATCCAGCATTCCATGGCAGGTTCCAAGCTTTCCATTTTTCTTATCTTATCTAATCGATATCCATAACCGGTCCGCAGATTATCCGCTTGTATTATTTTTTGCTTTCCAACGCACTGTCTGCAGCCGCGTATGTATACCAAGACATACAGTGCGAACATGATTCAATCTCGACTTTTGCACCCCACCACAGCAGAGTCCTCCAACTTTTTTTTTCTCCCAACATCGCGATCTTCACTTACACAGCCAGGTTTCCGAGGTTGGGAAGAGCCATTGTAGTCGCACCCAGACCTGAGCCGCGCCAAAAACCCAGTCGTATTCTCTCTGGAGACTAAGGCTTTGAGACGATACAAAATGGCTCCCGCTTTCCGTATTCACCGGCCAGACGTTTTGGCGTCGCTGCCGCGTCCCCTCGACCACACCAAGGGCCAGTACCACATTGGCGAAGTCTACACACAAAAGCCCGGATCAAAGAAGAGGAAGAGGCTGGAAGTTGTTGTTGGTGTGGACGGAGAAGCTGCAAACATTTACCACGTGAGTAGCTGGTGTGCTGGATCGTTATTGCTCCCGAAATACAGCCTTTAACAAAAGCTTAGGTACCGTCATCTGGTCTGCGAACATCGTACCCGATTCCGCCTCAAGAGTCATTCACTTGCGCGCCGCACTCGATTCGATTTCAGGGCGAAGGCTCAAGCGGTCGCAAAAACTACACATATCTCTCCACGAGAGACACTTCCGGCGCAAAGGTTACCCTCTGCCGCGATGTGATCGACACGACTGGCAAGACAAACTCTGCTAGTACCTCTCAGCGGGTGCGCCATAAGTCCCCAATCACGCATCTGTTTACTTCCGCCGCCGTCGATACCACAGTTATCAGCGAAACCCAGTCCGAAAATGGCCACGTGATTGCTCTCTGCAAGGACGGCCAGGTGTTGTGCCTAGACGGAGAGGCATTGGAGCAAAAATGGTGCGCCTCTTCGTACAGCCTCTGCAAGGACCTGCTCCCGGCGACTATCTCAAATTACGACGTGGAATTTTCGCTGCACGCTGCGGCATCAGACGTTCTTAATGGACTGTTCCAAGGCAGACAAGACGCCTTTGGCTCTTTTGGACGCCAAATTGACCCCAAGACCTTCAACCCGGATGTCCTCGCCTTCGTCGCCCGCACTACCAGCGAAGGAACCACTTCGAGATTCCTCATCATTCTCGGTATTATTCCTACGGCATCCTCGCAGCCATTGGTCCAACTTCATGTTACGCCCTTGCCTTCGCAAGACGATCTCGGCGCCGAATCAGCGACCTACCAGCTCCACGCCCAGTCAGGAAAGCTGCTTCAGCTTTCCGGTTCGGTCCTCCGAACCTACGATCTGACGAGTACCGTGCCCAAACTGCAGGGCAGTCTACCTCTGCCGGATTTGACCTCTTTCCTCCAGCTGTCAGAGCATTCGGTCCTTTGCCTGTCAAAGACTTCCGCCAGCATGATGAACCCCACCCTTCACTCGATACAAGCTTCGACAGCGGTTGAGTTCCCCGAGGCCACTGAGAAGCAGAAGCCAACACTTGTGACTTTTCTGTCAAAGCTCGACATGGCGGTCGCGGTTGTCGGCAACACGTTGGTCTCCATACAGATTGAACGACCCAAGTCTCACAGCAAGGAGGGCCTCCTCATAGATTCCATCGGAAGAGGCTTGCCAAGGTCGGATCGTGTGCCAGCAAGCCTTCCCAAGGCCGGCAACGATACATTTGAAAACTACCTTCCGGGAACCCTGTCCGACGAATATGTCAAGGAGTCTCTGGCCGATGTCGTACGGGCGGACGGGTTCATGCAGACACAGGATTGGAAAGCATTCGAAGCCCTGCTTGCACAGCGGTTTGGAGTTGCAGTTCAACAGGAGGTGGTTTCTAACGAACTCCAGACGCCGACCTGGAAGTGGCTAGCAGAATCAGACGCATACCCTGCCGTCGACCGTAGGTGGGTGCTGTATGCCATCAGCAGAGTTTTCTCGATGGAGATTCAAAGCCCAGAATCGGCCATCCTTCGTTGCAACCTGCCCGCGAGCAACGTTTTGATCTACCTTATTGCCGCTGGCCATCTCACAAACGCCAACATGTGTGCGGCGTTCAAGAGCGAGCTAGCCGAGGTGGCATCCAAGGATTCGGTCATTGACAAGCTGGTTCAGAACCTCGTTGCCATGAACCCTGCCATGGAGCTGCTCCTCAGCTATGTCACAGCAACCAAGCTGGGCGAAAAGGATTTGCTAGTGGTGGTTCGCGCCATCTTGCAGACCCTCAACATGAAGCCGCCGCAAGACCTCCTTGCGCTCACAGAAACCGAGCAAGAAGAGGATGTGGCGATGGAGATTGAAAAGACAGAACAGACGCTGGAGATGGCTGAAGTAGCTGTGTATCACATGGATGACGACCGTAACCTCCGTGAACGAGCTCTTACAACAGCATTCGAGAAGCTCGCGAGTTACTCGTCAATCGCCACGGTACGCGCCCTTCGTGAGACCCTCAGCCCGGCTGAGATTTTGTCACTCATCGACACTCTACGAACACAACTCTACCGTGGTGCCTGGACATCAAGGTATTTCGACATGACGGACATGGACAAGGACGAGGCCGCGGGAACACCACCGGATGGCACCATCTCGCTCATTGCAGAACTCATTTCCCGATGCATTGATTCCATCGGCCTCAGTGGATGGCTTACAAATGGAGCATCCTCTGTGGGTGGCCGTGCGGACGCGTTTGAATTCATTACGAACTTGAGCAACGAAGTCAGCGCAGCCCTGACTGGTCTACACGAGACAGTCCTACTGGACGGCTACGTAGGCGAAGCGGTTCAGTACGGCAGAACAGCCAAGACAGGATCATCAGCCAACGCGGCTGCTTCTGCTCGCGCTGGGGCTCTCGCTAAGCCGGTCTCCCTTGACGTCGAACTATCGACTCGCTTACCTTTGGGGCTCGTGTCCAAGCAGCATGTGTCTAATCAGAAGATTGTTTCGGGCGGCGAGGTGCTCGAGAGGAGCTCGCGTGAGAGAGGACACTTGCTGAGTCAGAAGGTCAAGGCGTACTCACTGGAGAGGATCTCCATTTGAGCCGCATGTCTGACAAAACAATGCGACGATGAGTCTCGGGGCCCCCACTTTCGTGTGAGATTGCCGGGCTTTGAAGTGAAGTTGAGGCTGAAGACGAACAAAAAAAAAATGGAGAGGCTCTGCAAGGTCTTTTGGTTTGGGGCAACAGAATACGCCCTGTGATAGTGGCCTGTGAGACAGTATGAGATAGGAAGAGAGGGAAATGTAGAAGCACGAGAACGAGCCAGCAGTGCATTGCTCGTAAAGATACCATGAACGGATACCGAAGCGTACATTTCTCCCTTTGTCGACCGCAACATCGGCTACATTCGGTGAAGCCAATCGTGTAGCGCCTGGGAGCACCCTCCTGCTCCTCCTCCTTCATGGCTAGCATAATAAAGTCTGCATTGATCGAACAATGGAAATAATCGATCAAGTTCTAGCGCCAGCTGACACGAGGAATGGCTCGGCAGGGCTGACTTGAGATGCACCCTCGTCACCAGACGAATCGGACCGCTGAAACCTTCCCGTCGGTGTGACACTGAGGGCATTTTGAGAAAGGGCCAGCGTGAGTTTCGAGGACTGACTAAATTGGATGTACACGATTCGTCGAGGGTGCACTCTTCCAGGTTGGTCTAGGAGGGAGGCTTTCGTTTGCTGATGAATGTACGCTGGTGGCGCTCAGGCCCGGCATTTGGCTTTTCGGTCAGCAATTGTTGCAGTAGTCAGGCCATGAAGCGGATTCAGCGCTGAGTATCCGTAATCAAGGTCGAGTTTCAAACCACGTTGACCTGCTTCAGCAATAACTCCATCCTCGGCTCGTCAGCGAACAGGTGGCAAACAGGCAGAGAAGACGAAGAGGTGACGCTCCCGACAGATGGAGATGACACATACCTATGCGTAGAGGCCCAAGCTCCATATCGCGAAATGCTGGAGGACGCATGCTCCCGTCTAAAGCGCCCCCGTCATTGGGCGATTGGTTTCACTTTGCCAGATGAGATGCCGAGAGAAGAATCCGACAAGCCCTCAGCGTCTTACAAGACAGCCCCGTACAAACCTTGCGGCAGAAAATCGTAGACTATCGATTTCACTAGCAAAGGGAACCACTTTGAGCAAGGTGGCTTTGCACATTCGGGGGCTCTGCTGAGGAATTGCGGGGGGCAGATGAGCCCTTGGAGTTGCATCGTGGGCATCGTTGGCAATCGGTGGCAGTTCTGATTGGTGCTGACCATGCAAGAGCCGTCTCAACGGGCTAGCGCCGCTGCATGGACGACTGCGTCTCAATTCCCACGCTTGATGTGGCTTGTCGGACAGCTTTCTGCACCTCTGCTGCATGTCCACCGAAGACAAAGAAGGATGCCTGCCTTTCAGCTACTCTACTCGCCTACCGTGATAGGTATGCTTTGCGTCCGAGTCTTTTGAAGGGATGGGGAAAGGGACCAGTGTTGGAATCAAGCACTTTTCGACAACCTCTTCTGACCGTCTGACACCCGCCAAAGAGCGGTTAGAAAAGTAGAGCCCTGGCGGGCAGATGCATGGACCAGGTAACGAGGTAAGGTCGTACAGTGTCCAAGTCACGTACTGAAAAAAAGGAGCCACGAGATCAGACCAGCCCAGAAAAGAGTCACAAACGAGAGTTTGGCGGCGAACATCACAGCGGAGCTCAGCACCGGCAACATCGGCCTTTTGCGAAGTCTGCGATGGATACCTTGCATCCAGTCCTGCAGCAACAATACCCGTGTTGTTGCTGTAGTGGAATTCATCAGCAAGTGACCCTTTTTCTCGTTCGTTCCGGGTCTCCGTTGTTTCTGGTACCTCTTGACTTTATTCCAGACGTTGTAATATGGATGGAGATGCAAACTATCCGTAGCTGGTTGAAGTGGGTTTCGAAACGGACCGTTTCTACGGACAGCTCTGACTCTTACACGCCCCCGATGCTTACAAATGAGATGCTCAAACTCCCTAGGACCCTGACGGATGGACGTAATGGGACCAGAGCTTCTAGAAGCCGTTTTTAGCGTCTTCTCGTGTTCGTCTCGACACCGGAGATGCATTTGGCCCTTGGATTCGGAGTTCCTTTCCTCCCCTAGGGCCAAGACGAACCGACATGCATACTCGAACCCCAAAACGCTGGTCCTTATTCGCCCCCCTGCCCGTATTCCAATCGCTTCTCCAGAGCTGCAAGTGATGTTCCATATTCTGTGCAGCAACGAGGATATCCACATTCAATGGAGCCCTGGGAATGCTGCATGCGGGACAGAACGAACGAGGACGTACTCCGTAAAAGAGACAAGTATGTACGGAAAGAGAGCGCGGCGCTGCGGGGCTTCTGGGGATAGGATCTGTCGGGGTCCGCCGAGGGAAGAAACTACGACGCCGGACGGCCCCAGTCTGCTAGCGGGCAGCGAGTTGTCACTGGTTAGAGCTCGTGTACCCGACGTTTGCCTTGCTGCAACTTGCCGGCGCCGCTCGTCACTGTGTATTGAGTTGAAGCGCACAGCACCAGGGCCAGGGCCAAGCAGGGTTCTAACTGAACTACTTCCGTTCCCCTCCTCCCCTCGCCGTCACTTTGTTCCACGGTATCTGAACATCTGTCTGTCTGCCTTGGCGTCGTCCCTAGCGTCGTCTGGTGCTTACCGGAGTAACTCCCCGACCACAGGACGCCTTTCCCGGGGCCGTTGGGCATTCTGTGTCCTGTGTGGTCCTTCTTTGACTGTTCACGCGGGCTGCGTTCCCGCCTGATGCTTGTTGGCGAGTGGTAGAGTGGAAGAGTCCAGTGCTGTTCTCTGTATCGATTCATCCAGACGGGTGGCGCAGGGGGCAACATGGACATCCCGGTTGGCATGGGTGGCGCGTCCCTCCCCGGCAGGAACTGCGTACGGTGACGATGCTGTTGCAAAGAGAGGGAACTCGGACCACATGGTTGGCGAGGATGGTGAAGGGAACCAGACAACCAGGTACAGCGTTGCGGTTACGGCACATCTGCTGCTCAGTCAATCAAGGCCAAGCCCTGTCGTTAGCATGACGGCCGTCATGAGTTGAGTTGAAGGGGGTCGAGGATTGGCATTCACGCATTACAGCCCTACGGAGACAGAAAATCTCTCCAAAACACGCCGGGGCTATTTCAGGGCGATTGTTTACGAAACTTTTCATATTCAATCAACTCGGCGATGTCGGGGTAGATGCTATTTGCGGCAGTTGAAAGGGCGGAAGGCTAAGCAAACAAATGCCGCGACCAAGTCTCATCTTCATTGAGAGAGGGAGAGCATGTGAGCAACATGTTAGGTCCTTGGAGAAGGGATGATTCATGAATGAAAAGCTTCGCGAGATCGAGTCCGGCGGCTGCCTGCCTCATCCACGGGCGTCACAGCAATGTCCTACTGCGGCTGAGTTGAGCGGGGGAGGTACATGGGAGAGATAAGGTAGACGAGAGAGGCAAGGACACGCCCACGCCCCGAGCTCTCACAGAGACAAACAGCGCAAGAGACACCTCCAATGTCACTTCCCAGACACAGAGACAGCTGGACAGAGACGGCAAGAGGGACCCAGACGTGCCAGAGTGCCAGAGGACCTAGAGGACCCAGAGGAAAGGGCTGGAGAGAAAGGGTCTACTGCTCCGGCCCCGCCCTAGGCCCAGTCGGGCAGAAGACGGTGCAGATCCAACCGTCAGTCCGTCACTGACCCCCTGCCACTGACGGCCCCCTTGTCTCGTCTTCTGCGTGCCCCGGACGGTATGATTTCATGGATCTGGTGCGAATACGTCACTGCAGGAAGCTGGAGCTTGCTCTGCTTGCCGCGGTGCTGCGCTCCTTGTCTCCGTCCAGCACCTACCACCACATCCCACCAACCAACCACCGCCACCACCGTCGACAGCACGCAGCAAGCAGCAAGCACTACATCACAAGCTCCCCTCTGTACCGTACGTAATACACCACCTTGGATGGGTATGCCAGCAGCAGCACCTTAGCAGCAGCAACATGCAGAGAGGACCTGTCGACCCGGGTGTGCCTCGACATCCTGCTGATGCCTGGCGTGCCTCTCTGGTCCCTCCCGTCCTGAACGTTGCAAGTCACTCTGGTCTTTCAAGCACGCAAGTGAAGTGACCCACGCCAGGTAACTCTGCTCTGGCCCTTCGCGCTTGATAATTGGACCTCTACATCCAGACTCGCGTCTCCCTCAGCCGGCCAGCAAGTCCAGCACTTTGCTCAAGCCCTCGGGCCTCTGCTCCCTTCACACCATCGTTTACAAAATGGAAGAGACGGATTGGACATGGCGCGCAGATCCGCTGCCTTGGAACCCGGATACACGCGAACCCATCGCCAACGAAGGCCCTCCCCCCCCTTCTTCTTTCCTGACGTTGATCTTGTAGGGCACTCATCAATGTTCTCTGTGCTCCCCTTCCCCCCGGTACACCCAAAAGTCGACTGTTTCTCCAAGCGACGCGGGGCCGAGTTGGAGTCGCCCTCGGGTTGCGACCACATGATTAGCTGCCACACCCAAGGCGATGGACTCAAGTAGAGTACACCGGCGAGGTACAACCTGACCCCCCCTGCCTGCATTTCCCTTGCCTGGCCTCGCCTCCCCAAAAGGCACAAGTGACAGTTGAAGTCACTGTCAACCATCCGGTTTACGTTCCATATGACAATATCGCCATGAGGCCCCGTTTCGGGTAGTCACTACCTCCTCTGCTCGCTTGGTCGTAGACAAGCAAACAAGCAAGGCCTTGCTTTGCGATTTACTGCCTGTCTACGAATACCTCCCTCCCTTCTCCTGAGTCTATACATTACGGTTTACCTCGGAGGCTGAGTTACTGTATCCGTACTTCCTGCCGACTCTTGGACTCCCCCCAAATCCTGTCCTGATCTGCTTCACCGAAAAGCTGAAGTTATTCTCGGACCTCACGTTGCACATCACAAATCACCACACTTGTCCTTCCTCGCTCTTGTCCTCATCCCTCATCTTTCTCCCCCTCTTCAACTCCATCCCCTGCAGACCAACCTTTTCTTTTTCAACACTCATCCTCCGTCACCCACGTTCTCTTCCCTGGCCCCCCTGCCACATCTAGATCTTTGCAGCCTCGCCTGTGGTGCAACATCTTTATTGCTGTGCCTGACTTACATCACTTTCCCTGGTCTTAACCAGCCCTTCCTATTGCGTATACTGCTGTCGATCACACCCGGCACAGCGTTCCAATACATCTGTCGCCTTCCCGCAAGAGTGCGCCATCATTATCAGAGATTCCTCCCGTCTTTTTCTCCTCTACTGCCACATCGACACCATCAATCACCAAGAAAACTACGCCCACACAGCAGCCACTGCTCGTCGACCGAGCAGACAACCACATCCACGTACTGACCACAACCACAACTGCCCCATCACTCCGCCGTGATGAGCAATGATATCTCCTCCCCCAGCCTGAGCGCTGTTGATACCTTTGCGCGCGCTCTATATCGTCGCGCAAAGGCATCTGGCCCAGAGTTCGCAGACGTCGCAAACATAGTTCGTCGCCTACACACAGTCCTCAAGCACCTCAAGGTCGAGGCTGAAGACCAAGATTCTCTCCTCAACTCAGACGCCTCGTCCGTCTACAACCGCCAGCTCGCACCCCTCGTTGAGGACTGTGACTTTGCCCTTAAACAGCTGGAGATCGTCATCGAAGATTTTGGCAAGGTTGCAAACCTCGACGAGCGCGAGCGCGAGCGCATTGCCATAGTCCGCACCAAACTTGCAAACCAAGAGACAGCTATCGACATGTTTCTCGACACGGTGCAGCTGCACAATCCCAGTAAAGCCCAGCGCGTAGTCGATGAACAAGGTGGAAACTTGGACAACATCAAGGACAAGGTGGATGCCATTGCAGCCAGATTATTTGCACGGAGAGATACCGGCAATGGGGATGACAAAGAGGATCTTTGGCAGCAGTTTCGCATCGAGCTCGAAAAGGAGGGCTTCTCAAAGGAAGTGCTGCGGAAGAACAAGGTATAATGATCCTAAATATACAGACAAAAATGCTGTTGCTAACCTACCTGAACAGGAGATCCTGCGCGCCTACATCCGCGAGTTGGAACATTCGACCGGCAATGATGCCACGGCACCACCATCCGTCCGCGGGCTCCTCGCTCAAGAGCGTGCATACCCCCATCCAGCCATGGCGGTTACACCCGCATCCTACCCAGGTCATGACAACTACGGATCTGGAGAGACGTACGGTTCATACGACGACAGATACGCTCCGGGGGGAAGAGGCGATCGCCGTCTGGCAGATCAGCGCTCCGCCCCCAGCATGCCGAATGAATTCAGTACTCTTTCCACTTACGAAAGGCAACATAGGGCGGACGATGAGCATAACGACTCACTCGCCCTCATCTCAACTCGCGACCTCATGGCAATGGATACTCTCAACAACGGCGTGGAGAACCTTCGCATTACCGCTGCTGAAAATTACAGCACCTCGCCTTCGTCTACCTCGCCAGCAAACCGCTATCTCCCACCAGATGTGGCAGCCGCCCGTGCTGCGGCAGACTTCTCCTCCTCACCCTCCACCCTCGGCGTATCACCACGTTTCGTACCTCCAATGACACATGCGAACGGCAAAGGCGGCCCTCCTTCTTCCTTTGGTGCCTCCCCTCGTACGTCTCAAAGCCGTCTCGCTCCAGACCGCTATGGAGCGGAGATTCCCTTTGAAGCGAAGTGGACACGCATCCGCCGCGCCCTCATCTCCCCTGAGATTCTTGAGCGTGCAGGCGTACGCTACGAAGCTCGCCCAGACTATGTCGCAGTCCTTGGAGTCCTCAGCCGCGAGGAAATCACAAACTACGCCCGTCTTTCCGCTGAGGCCCGCGCGGCACGCTCCTCGACACGTCACGACGGCAGTGCCGCGCCGAAAAGTGCCCCGAAGCAAGGTTCACCCCGCCGCCGGCGTGGCGATTCACACACCTCATCCTCCGAAGAGCCACTCTGGGACTCGTCGGACAATTCGTCAGAAGCCAGCTATCCCGACGAGGATAAGGGGAACAAGACATATTTCATCGTACCACCCCCATCAGATAGGGAAAAGGGCACATCACCCGCCGCAACTGTCCAACCAAAGCCAATTCTCAAGAACAAGAACGAGAATCACGTTCGCTTCGATCCGCAGCCGCATGAGCTTGACCCCCACGCTTCATCTCCCCGTTCCTACCGCGAAGATCGTGACAGGAGGAGAAGGCCCTCTCGCCGCGAGCACAGGGACTACGAGAGTAGGGACCGTGACGGTCACTACAGAGACCGCGAGCGAGAACGTGACCGAGACCGTGACCGCGATCGCGAGAGGGATCGCGACCGCGACGGCCACAGGGACCGCCATCGTGAGCGGGACCATTACCCCGGCCGTCACCATCGCGAGCGATCTGATCGCGACAGGCGGGACAAGAAGAAGGCCTGGGGTGAGACGCTAGGCGCCGTGGGCATTGGTGGTGCTGCAGCCAGTCTGCTCAGCGTCCTCACCGAGGCGGCGTCCGTACTATGATCTTGAGATCATCTGCTTACCTACCTCTGTCTCTTCCTGTCTGTTGGATTATGGATATTTGACGGGACATGTGCCCCTGTACCAACCAATATGTTTTTTTTTAACGAGCTGAGCTTTTTCTTTTCACATAAGTGCTGATCTTCTGGCGTTTATCATTTGGGGCTGCGCCCAAGATACACTTGATTCGACAAAACCACAATTGGGTATACAGGACATTGAGACATATCTTGGCTACAAGGGGGCGTGGAATGATTCAATTAATTCACAAAATACTAGCAACAGACTTGTATTTTCCTCCCTTGTTCAACTTTATTTGGGACTGAACAGCACCACGATACCTGTACTAAGAGAGAGGCTAGAGGGAGCGGATGAAGGGTTGTACAAACACCTGGCGAGGATGTGAACGAAGAAGCCCCTGACTGTTGTAGATGTACACCATACGAAATAAAAGATACCCCCAAGTTTGATGTTCTTAATCTCATTTGCTCGAAAACTCTATCACATTCCTATACCTAGTTATAAACCCTGTCCTGGCCTCGTCAATCACATGTGTTTGTTATCATGCTATGCAATGCCATACCCCCTTCACTCGCCCGCCCCCCGCCGCCCGCAAGCGCGCGGGCCGTCCTCTCCTTGATATGATATAATCCAAACATCATCCGCCCAAGGTAAACTAAATTGTTTTACACAAATACCGATGTCGCAGTAACCCCGACCTCTGTTTTTTTTACTTACGTCGTAATTGCCTGGTATTGGGCCTAGCCTCATCACTGAAGTCAAACCCCCCAACGGTAGATATCTTTCTCCTGGCGGGCTGGCTAACGACGGGAGGCGCCGCGGGGGGTGCTTTGCCAGCACCCTCGCCGCCGACGCTGAGCATCTTGTTCATAAGATTGGCTCGGTGCTGCTGGGCGCCGGGGTCCTGGTACTGTATCTGCGTCGACGGCGGTTCCTGCTCCTTCTCCTGCTGGGGCTTCTCGTCCGCCGTGCGGCCCATCGAGTCCATGCGCGACTCGGCGCTTCCGCTAGATGCTGCCGACGCGTTGCTTATCGCGCGCCCGAAAATTCGTTTGGCCCGTCTCGTCTGCTGCTGCTGCGGGCCTGAGCCTTCTACGTCGGGGCCATTCTCGCCGCTGGGTCTCGATTCGATCAAGGTGGCCAATTTGGAAGTCAAGTCTTCCTTCTCGGCATCCTTTTCTGCGTCCCGTTGACGTTTGCGCTCCGCTTCTTCATCCTCTTTTGTTCTTGTCACGGCCTGGCTTTCTTCTGCGGCCGGGTCGGATTGGCCTTGGGGCTCAATGGGAGCACGCGTCTTAGGCGGTGAAATAGGGGTAGCATCTAGGCTGTCGGCCACGCTCGTGGTTCTGACTAGTCCCACAGGTTGTCTGACAGGTCGTTCCCCATTCAAACCGCTGGGCGTTGTGTCTGCCAATGGCGGTGCTACTGTTCCCGCACCAAAGCTGTCTGCCAGATGCGTCTTGGCTGTCTGGAATTGGAAAGATGCGGTCGACTCCGTCTTCGCGGGTGTCCGTTCGGGTTGCGCGAAAACCGCTGCTGAAGTCTCCCTGGCGGCTGTATCCTTCGAGTTTGAGGTAATAGGATTCCGACGGCCTTCATCGTCTTGGAAAGCTGTGGTGTCGATTCCACCCGCGACTGTGGAATGTCTTGCCGCTGGTCTCTTTGAATCATGAGACATGGGCTCAGATCGTGTCCTCTGGAAAGCCTGCTTCATTTCCTCCCTGGTTGTCTCTTTGGCCTTTGGCTTGGGCTGGAGACTGGATGGCTGGTTCAGTTCAGGAAACATGTAATCCTTGACAGGCACGATGTAACCCGTTGTCAGGCAGTCCCATAGCCAATCCGAGCTGACGACCGGAATGTCGTTGTCGATTGCGAGTTTGAGCTTCTCATTTCTCGTTTCCGCGAGCGTTCTACACACCAGCACCGAGGTCGTATCGTTTAGCCTCGATGCGAACCTGGCACCGATTTGTCTGACGACCTTTTCCACATGCAGCAGGTCGATACCAGAGAACCCCGCTGTGCAGATTGATATGTCCTTGAAGCCGCGAATGGGGAAGGCGGGTAGCGGGCGACCCAGGATGTGGCTGTCTGGGTCGCAGAAAGCTTTGTTATGCAAGCATCGCTCGATGAAGAACTCAGTTACTATTTGTATCTCGTCGACGTGCTTGGGCGGAACCTGAAGATGCGTTGAAGGCTGAGATTCTTGCGGGACAACCAGGAGCCTGCGGGCCGGCCTTGCCTCGTAGCCCTTGGTAGAAAGTTCTTGAAAGGAGTCGCAAACCTGACCACCCAGGGAAACAATGGTGTCGGCCAGAATCTTGGATTTCCACGACTCGAACCCAGACATGAAGAAAAAGCTTGTAGAGAAAATACCTGCGTCAGGGCTAGGCTGGACCATTCGATCATGGATGCCAGAGTCTTGAACCTCAATTCTGTCCGTTGAGTCTCCTGGCGCGGCGGACTCGCCGGACGGCTTGTTGCCGAGGATATCTCCCCAAAGCATGTCTCGCTGGCTGCCGAGCTTCATGCTGGCTGTTTTCCTGAGCTTTCTCTGGCCACCCTCCTGGGCACCGGATCTCGATCTCTTCCCCACGGATGCGCTCCTTGGCGTTACTCTGTTCCATGCACCCTGACCTTGCTCCTCAGCGGGCAGGACGGGGTCGAAACACTGCTCGTCGAGAATCAGGCCACGCTCGATGCTTTGTTCGAGCCATGCTAGCGACACGGTACGAATATTCCATACTCTGGCGGCCTTGTATTTCTTTCCTTCCGGCTTTCGGACTATTAGGTGCGAGACTCGTTTCGTCAGATCTCCGGTGTAAGCGCCGCCGTTGGCGTTGATTTTGTCGATGATGTTTGTGCGTTGGTCGGCTATGAGTGGTTAGGCTCTGCTGCCAAAAGAAACCAAGTCTTGAGTGCTCACGATCGTCGAAGCCAGTCATACAAAGCAACAGGCTCCCGCGCCTAGCTTCAGTTGGATCTGTTGTGTCGGAGACATGGCCGCACGTCTCCAGCGGCTTCAGCTGCCACTCTCGTTCGAGGGCCGCAAAGTCAATGTCGGCATCTTTCATCCATAGATCTCCTATTGCATCGATCCATCTAGCATCCATGGCCTTTATATCGGTTCGTTCCTTGGCGACATGGCGGTATTTGGGTGTGTCGTAGTCTCCAACGACAAGATGTGTCACGTCGGGGGTCAGATCGTACTTGTGGATGCCTCCGAGTTCTTCAGTTTTTTTGGCTACTTGCGTCTAGGTAGATGTCAGAAGATGGGACTTGGCGAGGCTGTAGAAAGCAGGGAATGGAGAGGATGGAGAGTCGGCGGAGAAGGAAGACGAAAATAGTAACACCAAAGAGGGCGGCATCACAACTCACTCGCTGGTCCGGCGGGATGCTCGTGCAGCAGACGACGACGCCCTTGAAAGGATGCGCAGGGTCGAAGGCCGGCTCGCTCGAGTCCCGACTGCGAGGGGAGTCCATCCTATGGCATGTCGGTAGCTGTGAAGTCCTCGATGTAGCATTCAAGACTGGCTTTCCCGTCGGGGGTTGGATGTCAGGAAGCAGTCGGGTTGGTCTTTGTCGCCGTGCTTGCTGTACGTGCACCTGCAGCGAGCGACGGGACGGCGCGTCGAGAAAAAAGTCGCGTCTGCTGCCTGTATCAATTAAAACAGTTGTCAAGTGCAACGGGTGTCATTGGTAGACGTCATTTGGGGGTGGGGCTGCGCGAGTCAACTGGGAGCTTTTGCACTGTGTGACTGGACGCTGGGAGGTGCCTGGGACGGGTAGAAATACAGTGCTTCTGCCAGAGAAGACGTAAGTAGGAGCATTTGAGTGAGTTGAGAACAAGATGCATGAATTGGCATTTTTTATGCTTGAAGAGAAAAGTGTTAGATTCAAAAACTCATCAACATAATGTCATGCTCGTAGGTATATATATAGATTCATCTTACACCTTGAGCATAGCTGTGTGACACCATTCTCACCATTCACAAGGCACGAATCGAAGAGAGTCATATATGTGGATTAGCATAAACAACATACTAAAGTAATTGGGCAGTAGCTAACCAAAATAAGAGCATATACCAGTCTTCATAGCAAGAAATGAGCACGCGGGCTGCTGTCTTTCTAATCGGACATGTCAGATTTCGAACGCCCGTCCAATCCGGCCCTTTGGCACTTTGGCTTCCACGCGAATGAGGTTTCATGGGAGGGCATGAAGCCATCAGACCCTCTCATGGATTTTTCAGACGGAGACAGCGACTACGAAACAAAGGAACTCAAAAGGAATGAGAAGTGGAAGTCCAAGGGTCTCTGCAGTGAGTTCCATGAGGTGAATCTGGTGAGCATGAGATGCAAGCATGGAAACACGGGAGAATGTTCCCTAGGTAGGTAAGCAGAGGCCCAATGAGGAAGGCGGGGCTGTTGCGGTTAAAGGGCTCCACTTCCCGCTGTCTACAGCCATGGGCAAGCAAGGACAAGAAACACGCCATTGGGGTGGACAGTACCTTAATTGCCAACCCCCGCCGATGTACTATCCGTACAAAAAGCCAGAGCCTTATCCGTGCCGCCCAAAAACCACAGAGTGCCCCGCCATACCTTAGGTGGGCAGGAAGACGTTCAGCAGGAAGGTATTGCTCTTTGGCTGTTACCCCACCATCTCGGCTTCAGCCTTGTTTCTCCCAAACCGAAGCCCTTTCCCACCACGTTTTCCTCATCGACTGACCACACCACGTCCGCTGGCGACTCTCGATCTCAAGCACACCGTCACGTCTGACCTACACGAATCTCGCGTCGTCGCATCAAACAGCGACCCATTGTCGACCTCTTCCTCCCTCCCTCGAAAGGCCTTGCCTTCTCACCGATAACATCGTCCGTCGCATCATCACCGACTCTCCCACGCGACCGATTGCGTCACACGACTCCCTCGACCTGCATCCAAACCAAGGAAGCAGTTTTGGCAACAACACCGCGCGCAGACAGGGGTAGAACTGCGGCTAGTACAATGGCGCCGACATCGACATCCCAGAAGGCGATGACCACCCAGTTCGCTCAGTTGACAGGTGCAAGCGATAGAACGGCACAACGGGTGAGTCCAAGAGAAGAACACGTGCCTCAATCTCGGCCCCTCGCCTACGCTGCCCTCCCAACATGCGCTTTTCTCCCTCATGATCGTTCCCCAAGGCTTTGAAAGACGTGGACCACGTTGTTGAATCGACGGCGAAACGTCGAATCCTGCCGTGCGCCGCTACTTTGCGTTGCGCTTCGTTGCATTGTGCTGTCTGGTAGCTTGAGCTTGACTGGGCACCGACGCGATGCTGCCTTGGCGGGGAAGGGCGGGGCAGCTGGTCGAAGACGAGACCGCCCACCGGGCCGTTAGATTTTGAATGCAGATGCTGACTACCAGCTTCCAAACAGTACCTCAAGAACGCTGGATATAAGCTCAATGAAGCTGTTGATGCGTAAGTGCAATCTGTCCCATATCCAACATGTGTTTTCTCATTGTCTCCCGCGCGCTTCGGTTTCGTTTCGTTTCGTTTCGTTTCGGTTGGTCTCGCCCGCATCTCGCCCGCATTTGTTTGCTCGACGTTGCCGTTTCTATCATCGCCTTTTACCGCCCGTATAATGTTATCCGAACCACTCATCTCAGCATGCGCCGGCCCTTCTCGGGCAATTTGCCCTGCAGCGCACGCAAGGATATCGCGTTAGCACATACTTGACTTGCTTGTCTGTTTCCCGGTCTGAGATGCCCTTTGTGGGGGAAACGCCGCCGAACCCCCCTCGAAGCGCTGCGCTGCGTTGCGCTGCAATGGACCCGTCGGAGAGAGGCACTTCTGCAGCTACAAGGTCACAGTTCGCTCTTTAGGGGTACACTTTTGTCCACATAGCAGGAGAAAGGCCGAGTCGACGCCGATCGATAAATGCTCCTGAAACACTTCCTCGGATAAAATAGCACTTAAAGCAACGAGCTGCCATGTCAGCCTCCAACTTGACTGCTTTGATCGGCCGTTTCTCGTCTATTGGTCGATCTAGTTGACATAAGTGTGTCGCCTCCGGACTGGAACGGCTGCCCCGGTGCCACTCATATCCGAACATCACGACGGTCACGGTCCTTTGTATGGAGAACCCGGTCAACAGTCATCATCCTCCCGAGCATCCCGCAGTAAACGGCCGCAGGCAGCTAGCGCATCTTCAATCTGCCCTTCAGCCTCTATCGGCTGATCCGGCTTCGCATTTATTAGCCGACGTGCTTCGTTCAATATCGCGCTAGAACCTCAAAACACACTGGACTGATCGACGCAGAGGAGGCCGGAGCCTGCAAGACAATGGGCTGGAAAGGGTTGAAAAACGCACTGCCTACCACAGGCTTGAGCTTGTGGTCGCCGAGGCGCAAACCATCCAAACACGACCTTGTCACCGAGGAGAAGAATCAGTCTGGGTATTCCAGCCATTCAATTTGCCATGTCCTGCGCAAAGTTGTCAGCTGACTTGCGCCTCTCAAAGCTTCAAGACCACATCATCGTTCTATTTTTCTTTTGGATATCTCGCATCTTTTAATGGCCCAAAGTAATATCGACTGACAAACTCTCGTAGGTACTTCTCTGGCGGCAGTGGAACCTCCACACCCACAACTTCAGCAATCGATACTTCGTTGAATCAAATGTTCGACAAGCTGCGAGGTACGAGTCACATGCTAGCATCTTCATGGCACTACTAACAATGAATAGATGATGTAAATGACGAGAAGAACACCCTGGGTCTCGACACCACGATGGCGTACCTCGGCGACTTGGGTGTGAACATCGAGAATGCCGAGCTGCTGGTCGTGATGGAACTTCTTCAGGCACCTTCTGTTGGAGAAATCACCCGAAAAGGCTTCGTCGATGGCTGGAAGGTGACTGGGTATGGCCAACTTTTCCAGCGAGAAGATGTAGTAAACTAACGAGCTTACAGTGCTGCCACGCGTCAGGCGCATATATCTCACATCAAGTCATTGGTGAGCAGTCTTTCGACCGACCCTGCTTACTTCAGGAAGGTGTATCGGCACACCTTTGTTGCCAGTAAGGAGCCGACTCAGAAGGCACTCAATCTTGAGATCGCCACAGTCTACTGGAACGTTCTTTTTTCACCACCTGGCTGGGAATGGAAGACGAAGAACCAGGACTGGCTGCAGCTGTGGTTGAAGTTCCTCGAAGAGAAGTGGACCAGATCTGTCAACCGCGACATGTGGAACCAGATTCTTGAATTTGCGACCAAGTCGATGGCAGACGAGACGTTGTCATTCTGGAACGAGGACGGAGCATGGCCCAGCGTGATTGATGACTTCGTGGCCTGGTGCAAGGAAAGAGGGATCGGCAAGACTGAGACAATGGACTTGGACGCCTGAAGACATTGCAACAGACCATGGATTGACAGCACCACAAAAGGCCGATACTAAAGCCTAGAGGTCACTGAGATAATGACGGGGATGAATCCGACGACGGCAAGAGGAGCGCAAATCAGCGCACTGCCCACATTGGTACATAGAAGCGGGATATCCATCGACAGCGAGGCCGTTGAGACCACAGACGTAGGCTGCATCGGGAAGCCAGATATCATGACCAGTGGTAGAGATTTTCAGCATTAGCCTAGCGATTGCAGTTAGGAACTGCGAGGATTAGATTGACAAAAGCCTGAGCGAGGAACAGTGCATGCTGTGCAGCAGAATAGTTGGATAATCTTTCCGTCCATTTTGTATCTGTGGCGTGCCACGTAGTTATACACTCCGAGCTGGGGTCGGCTTTACACATTTGCAATCAAATGTCCCCGGCGCCGGCTCCGGGTGGATCTCGTATCATACAACATCTGTCATTTTGAGGCTCTCCGGACCTGCGAGCCATGATTCCCTTCTTCAACGCGAAGACCATCCCATCCTGTGCTGTCTCCGACTCTTCGTCCGGGGAAGCAATTTGCAAGTATCTTTTCAATTCCATGTTCCCGTGGGGGACGCCGTTCTTCAAGGCATTCACCGATCCCACTTGACATCTCCGAAACGGGCCATGGTCTCGAGCTTGCCGTCACCGAGCTTGACGTGGGCGGTGCGGATGACTCGGGGGTCGAGGTTGATGGTCGTGCGCATGTCGGTGTGGGTAGCCGAGGAGGCGTCGTAGCGCATCACAAAGTAATGGCCCGTCTTGTGCTTCATCTGGGCCTTTGCGACGGGTCGCGGGAGGGTGAAGACGCCCCAGTTGGAGACGCCGCGGATGACGCCGCCGTTGCGGAGGATGATTTGGCCGGCGGTGAGGGCGATTCTAAGGGGGAGGCATATGGTTAGCTTGTGCTAGAACGTGAGGTCTTGCGTGATGCACAGGGTTTGCGGGGGCAGATGGAGAGCGTTTGCGTTCGAAGGAGGTTATGGATGGAGATGGAGGGAGCGCGTACTCTTTCACCTCGGCGAGGGAGCCCGGTCGCACCTGGAGATGATGTTAGCTTTGTTTTTTCCTTTCAAGTGACCAATATCGATGGGAAAGAAGGTTAGCGGCTTACAATTCCTATGAGTTCGTACAACATCTTGTTACCGACATTGACGCTATGCTGGGAATGATTCGAGGTCCAGCAAAGGTCCAATTGACGATTGCCAAATTATTTCGGGGGGGGACTTGCGCCACACAATGGAATTTTCCGACATGTGGCTGGTTACGGAATTGGAAGGCCATTTGTGGGGTCCATAATGAGCTTCAGCCACGACCGTGCTACGCTTGATAAATTTGGTCATTGGCACTGTACGTGCGAGCGAAACAGCCAATCTAGGTGACGAGATTGTCAGCATTAAGTCTCTGGGTGCGCTGGATATTTCACTCCAGTCGCAGCTCAGATTTGATTGCGGTTAATAGGAGAAAGATTACATGCTTATACGGCCTCTTGAACAAGGGCCAAGCTAGTATTACACTAGACTGTTACATAGCCAACAAATTGATGTTGTCATACCGATAAATGCGTCATCTTACAGGAACGCCGTGGTCTTCTAGATTTGATTCGTGCTCGTCGCCCGCCAGAGACGCCAAGGCAACTTCCAGCTCGGCTTCACAGTCCAGGGGTCAAAGTTTGTCCCCTCGAGATTTGTCAGGTACTCCTGTGCGGGTACAGCTTCAAGCAGCACCCCGAATCCTCGCCGGAGGTCCCGCTTCGTGTCGTCCTCCTCCTCTTCGTACACGTGCTCCGCCTCTCCCTGGTGCTCAAACTCGTGGCCGGCTTCCTGTCCGGCGTTGAGATTTTTGAGCATCTCGCGCGCCGTGATGAGGTGGTCGTTGGCCCGCGTCGCCACCTTGAACACAGCGTCCTGGAAGCCTTCCGCCTGGGGTCCGTACCTAAAGACATCCTCCTCACGCAGGCTGACCTCTGCCATGACGTCCAGCGGGAGGAGCAGCGCGGGATCTTGTCGTCCGCCGCTTGGTCCGGCGTGGGATCTTGCAGGCTGCTGCTGCGGCGCCGCCAGAACGGGGATGCCGCGCAAAACCGCCACTATGCCGCACGCCTTGCCAATGTGACTCGCCAGATGGTCCACCTGCATCGAGCGGAGCGGCATCGAGGCCAGCGTAGCGTACATAAGCGTTGAGTACGTGTTCTCCGCGTACTCCTCCAGCGCAGCCAGCGACGCATACGGTCTGTTGTCCATGTGCTTCGCTCGCGTCTTGATAAGCCGCTGCACCCAGAACTTGATAGAGCTCGCGGTGGAGGTCGTCGATCGCGCGCGTAAGTCCTGCAGCGCCTGGTGAAGGAGCACGCATATGGGTTCGGCCGGGGGCGCGCCAGCAAAGGTCTTATCGATGGATTCGCGCCAGAATTGCATACGCATCTGGCCTATGGTTGGGTTGGAGACGAGCTCGGGGAGGCGGACGAGTTCGAGGTTGAGGCTGCGGAGGGCGAGGTAGGCGTCTGTTGACCGCGCCGGGACGAGGCGGCTGATTATGTGCGCATCGTAATCGCTGTGTCTTTGGAGTTCAAGTTAGCATCTTTTGGGGGCAAGTCCATGTTCCGGAATGCGTAATCGCGAATGGGGGACGTCGGCGTACTGGAGTTGCGACTGGCAGTATTTCCTTGCCTTGACGACATCTGCGTCTGTGACGATGCCCCTGGTGCCCCGTGGAGGGTTCTGGACGAGCCTTCTCAGGCCATGGCCGGCGATCCGTGTGCGATTCATTCAGGAAAAGACGCTGGTGTGATGCGCCATGTCGGGGCTGCTTTGATTCGCGAGATGCAGCTGGCTAGTCGTAGCTTGTGGGACTCTGTGTTTTTTTTTGGCCACCTTACCTCAGGTGTACTGAAAATTCCGAGGTTGAACTATTTTGTTTCTCGTAATGACGTCTTTGCCGGGGTTCTCTTAATTGACTTACCTCAGCAGACACGCAGTCACATGACAACCCGACGCGCCCCGTCGCGCTGACTGATTCGCCTCGCGTCTCCTGTTCTCTTGCTCATGTACTCTTTGTGGCGGCCTTACTCAATGTCAGTGGCATACCACTCAACACGACCCGCGAATCGAAACCCTTATGGCGTTCATATGAACAACCATGGAATACCCACACTCTCCCGAACCCCCGGCGAAGAGGAGACGCTTCTTTTCGGCCTCAGACGACGACGTGTTGAACCACCAGTCCAGCCCGGTGCTGCCCACCCCGCCAACGCAATCGAAGCAGCGATTCTTCCAAGATGTCGACGATGAATCACCCCAAATCAAGAGCGAGGATGTCCAACCTCCATCTTCGCCCTCGAAACCACGAGAACCGCTCATAGAACAACCCGTCGATTATGTCTCCAACCGATCCGCCCAGCCTGCAGATGTGCAGCGTGAGGAGTCCGCCATGACTTTCGACCAGGAAACCTTTGAGAGCTTCGTAGGTGACAAGGTTACGGCGGAGCTACTGAATGTGATTCGGGATAGTTGCGGCAATAATCTCGAGCGAGCTGTCAACATGTACTTCGATGGCACATGGAAGAATTTCAAGAAGAAGTCTCCTTCCCTCAATGCCTTTACTCGACCGTCCCCGGCCGCAGTGAGCAATACAACACAAGACTCTGGCGTAGAAGATGTGCCAAAGCCTGTCATCCGCCGAAAAATGCCCGAAGCTCGATATATCGGTTCCCTCGGCGTCGAGGGCTGGGCGACACGCAGCGGAGCGAACTTGCTCAACCACGGAGATGTAGTCAGGATTGAGCGACAGAAGATCCAGCCGCCAAAGCCCAGGGTCACCACCAAATTCGGTGTCGCAAGCGTTGCCCCACGAGGCCCGCCCCCGGGTTCAAAGCGGGTCGACGTGTTGGTGCGATTCACGAACAGCAGCGGATCCGAGATTGGCAGGCTGGAAAAGGAAACAGCCGAATGGGTGTCGACGTTGATGGACCAGCAGATATGCAGGTTCGAGGGCACCTGCGTGTATGCTCCCGAGCGTCTTCGAACAAACGATACTGTCTTTATCCAGTTGAAGTGTTATCTGCTAGCCACAGCCTTCCATCGGCCTGGGTTCAAGGTGTCAGAAAATAGGGCGGCTGGTTTCTTCGAGGAGAAAGAGTCGACTGAGGAGAAGGAGCTACGCCTCAGGCAGGTGGCACTAGTGAAGCTCTTCTCCGAAATCAACCTCGACCCTACGCGAGCTAATGCCACTGCGTCGAAACACCAGAGGCAAGGCTTGCTGCAGGCTGCAGAGATGGAAGAAAAGAAGGAGAAGGATCCTGCCAAGCCAAGTGACAAAGAGCCGGGTTCCTCGCCTCCTTCAGACGAGCAAGAGGAGGGGGAAGAGCTGGAGCAAGACCAGCTTGATGCCCTATACCGCAAAGCCCAGTCGTTTGACTTCAACACACCCGAAGCGGAACCTGCCGATACCTTCGCCATGGACCTGAGACCCTACCAGAAGCAAGCGTTACACTGGATGATGACGAAGGAAAAGGACCAGAAGAGCAACAGGGAGCCAAGCATGCACCCCCTGTGGGAGGAATACACATGGCCGCTTAAGGACACTGACGAAAAGGAGCTTCCTCAGGTCCATGACCAGCAACATTTCTACGTCAACCCATACTCGGGAGACCTCTCCCTCGATTTTCCCGTTCAAGAGCAAAACTGCCTTGGCGGTATCCTGGCCGACGAGATGGGTCTCGGCAAGACCATCCAGATGCTCAGTCTCGTCCACACCCACCGGTCTGACATCGCGCAGCAGGCCAAGGCGATGGGTAGTATTCCCACGTCCGTCAACGAACTTCCAAGGCTTGCTTCCAACTCATCAAGCGTGCTTTCTGCGCCATGTACGACACTCGTGGTGGCACCGATGTCATTGTTGGCGCAGTGGCATAGCGAGGCAGAGAAGGCTTCAAAAGAAGGCACTCTTAAGGCCATGGTGTACTACGGCAACGAGAAGGCTAACAACCTTCAGGCGGTATGTTGCGCCGCAAGCGCAGCCTCTGCGCCTGACGTGGTCATTACTAGTTACGGTGTGGTTTTGTCAGAGTTCAATCAGGTTGCGGCTAAGAAAGGTGACAAGTCGTCTCATACTGGGCTGTTCTCACTCAACTTTTTCCGCGTCATCCTGGATGAGGGTCACCATATCAAGAACCGACAGTCGAAAACTGCCAAGGCGTGTTACGAAATAAATGCTGAGCACAGGTGGGTGCTGACTGGAACGCCAATTGTCAACAAGCTGGAGGATCTCTTCAGTCTGGTTCGTTTCCTTCGTGTGGAGCCTTGGAACAACTTTTCATTCTGGAAGACGTTCATCACAGTACCCTTCGAGTCCAAGGATTTTATGAGGGCTCTTGATGTGGTGCAGACGGTACTGGAGCCTTTGGTTCTGAGACGTACCAAAGACATGAAGACGCCCGATGGTCAACCGTAAGGTGATTCAATTTTGACTTTTAAATTTTAGCTAACCTCTACAAGGCTAGTACCGCTTCCACCAAAATATGTCGAAATCGTTGACGTTGAGCTCAGTCAGGCAGAACGAGAGATTTACGACTACATATTCACAAGAGCCAAGCAATCATTCAGAGAGAACGTGGAAGCAGGCACGGTTATGAAAGCGTTCACTAGTATTTTTGCCCACATTTTGCGCCTACGCCAATCTTGTTGCCACCCGGTTTTGGTGAGAAACAAGGAGCTTGTCGCGGACGAGGTGGAAGCTGGAGCTGCCGCTGATTTAGCAGCCGGCCTTGCGGACGATATGGACTTGGGCTCCCTCATTGAACACTTCACAGCAGCTGTGTCCGAGCCGGAGTCCAACTCGGCTGCTTTTGGAGCGCATATCCTCGGCCAAATCCGCGACGAGGCTGAGAGTGAGTGCCCGATTTGCGCTGAAGAGCCCATGGTTGAGCAGACAGTCACCGGATGCTGGCACTCTGCTTGCAAGAAGTGTCTTCTGGACTACATGAAGCACCAGACAGATCGGCATAAGGTGCCGACGTGTCCTAACTGTCGAGCCGAGATCAACTATCGCGACCTGTTTGAGGTTGTTCGTCACGACGACGACCCAGACATGTTCAAGAAACCCAAGATTAGTCTCCAACGCTTGGGTGTCAACAACTCCTCGGCCAAGGTCGTGACCCTGATCAAGGCTCTGCGTGAGCTGAGAAGGGAGCAACCGCGGGTCAAGTCTGTCGTTTTCAGCCAGTTCACATCGTTCCTGACGCTGATTGAGCCGGCGTTGGCGCGTGTCAACATCAAGTTCCTCCGTCTCGACGGATCCATGGCGCAGAAGGCTCGTGCGGCGGTTCTGACCGAATTTCAAGAGTCAAAGACGTTCACCGTGCTGCTCATCAGTCTCCGCGCTGGTGGCGTGGGACTGAACTTGACATCAGCGAAGCGAGTGTATATGATGGATCCCTGGTGGAGTTTTGCGGTCGAGGCCCAGGCGATCGATCGTGTGCATCGTATGGGGCAAGATGAGGAGGTCAAGGTGTTCCGCTTCATCGTCAAGGAGAGTGTGGAGGAGAGGATGCTTCGGGTACAGGAGCGGAAGAAGTTTATGTAAGTTGAACCCAACGTGTTTTGGGCGAGTGAGTGTTTGCTGACTTGATTCTCTAAGCGCCACGTCTCTAGGAATGATGAGCGATGAGGAGAAGAAGCTCCAACGGATCGAAGATATCAAGGAGCTGCTCAGCTAGATGGGAAGCTTTACTTAATGGTTCTCATGGCTGGCATGTGTGCATATACAAGGCGTCCGTGTGAAAAATTGCCTGAATTGGCACGATCAATGATAAATATACTGCAGTGCTGGGCATCGGCGGGAGGCGCCGGTTCAGTACGAACTTGCCGGTAAACACGGCGCAAGCATCTCGTAATGAACAGGTTCAAGCTCGACCATCTTGTGCGCTTGATTAGCCAAGGCATCCACCGCTAGACCGTTAGGATTACATGTGATATAAGCCGACATCCTCCCTCCATGTACCTGAGTCTACCTGGCTAGAATAGCTGCTGCCTTTGATGAAGATAGCTCCTACTCTCAACACGTCGCCTTCCGTCCCGGCCCCCCTTATGAGTATAAGTCTCACAAGGAACATCTTAACTGTTGTAAACATTGTCGAAAAGGGGTATGCGGATCTGGCAAATGTGGTGGTGGCACTGGGGCCACGACTTGGCGGGCCCTGAGCAAGCCCTGGCTGAGATGGCTCTCAGTGTGGTTATTAAAGGATTTGGCCGGAAGATGAGACCTTGAGCATGAAGCATCTTTTGAGAAATTGAATTGATGATTTTGTCCTAGTCGAAGCGCGCGGAACCCAGCCTCTCAATGACCCTTACGCTCGCGTGTCCCTCCAGATAATTTGTAGAACCATCCATGAGCAATCGTATTCACCAACATCTTCTTAGACCTCCGAGAACCCCATGAATAAACACCGGATCCTCCAAAAGCGTTCACCTGCGATGCTTCCCAGGCAGCGAAACATCTTTCCGACAGTAACCCGCTTTTCCCGGGGTTGCCTCACACGCTGCGCCCAGTCCGTCGCGCTCACTCGCCGCTCAGTCACCACCACCAACAGACATCACACTGCCAAATAACCAAGCCACGCTGAACCCGCACCAGACGCGGGTCATTTCAAACAGAAAAAGTCATTGCCAACTCCATATCTCTGCCTGCGGAAGAGAAAATTGCGACCATTTGACTACTTCACGCTCACGGTTTCCAGCGCCTGGTGCTGCTGTCTCACTTGTACCGCGCAGACAGTCACTGAGGGCAGGCGCTCACTGAATCACATGAGAAAACACCATCACCACATGACCAACAACCACCCGCGCGACTGGCAACGCCACCAAGCACTAAGCTAATATTTACCCACAAGTCATTCTCTACTGAATCGGAAAAAGAGGGACGGTTCATTCACATTCTTTTCTCTTATTCTGATTGTGGTTTTTTATTTCTCTCTTTCCCTTACTCTTGAGAAGCAATTCACTTACACCACCTCTCGCTGTTTGTAACTTACACACTCGCTCGACTCACCTTCGCTCCATTCGCACAACTAGCACAATACAACCCAATGCATCCCGATCCTTCACGGTCATGGATGGCTTACTACGCACACTAACACGCTCTCGCAACGCCGCGCCGTCTCCTAACCGCGGCAGCCGCAATCGCAACCGACGCGGCGAAAGCCGCAAAGGCAGCGGCGGCAACAACCACGGTCAAATTGAAATCATTCTCGAGGCCCTCGCCCGAGGGTTGGTCGAGTATGCGGTTCAGAAGTACATGAAGAAGCTGAGCGGCGGTGATGAAGATAAAGCCGGAGGAGGACGAAGGAACCACGACGACCGGCGCCTTAGCACGCGCGGCAACAACCATGGCCGTGCCGAAGACGAGCACGCTAGAGGCGGCGTTCCGAATATGGACATGGAGATGCTGGAACACCTGGGCAAGAATATCCTCTCCAAGGCCATGGAACGCTTTGGTGGCGGCAGCGGGGAGGATGAAGAAGACGATGGGCGCGCAGACGTGAGAGCGAGTGGACGGAGCCGGAGACACGGCAAGGGAAGGACGGAGAGCCGGGACCGCGACACGCACTCTCGCGAACGCTCGCAAAATCGCCCTCACAGACGAGGTCGCGACGACGGCAAAGACGAAGATCGTGACCGGAGAAGACGCCACAGCCGCGATAACGGATACCCTTCACACAGGCCCAGTTCCCAGCACCGCGGCTGCTCGCCATCGCCGTCGAGACACCGTCGCGGCGACGACAATACTCACCGCCGGCGGAGATACGGGACCGACTATGCACCGCTCAAAGAGGAGTTGGAGACCCTGTCCAACACAATCATATCCCTGAACGAACGGCAGCCTGGACATGCCGACTGCGAGTTTTACGATGCGTTTATGGAGCGGTCGGGAAAGGTGCAGGAGGCTATCGGTTCCGTGTTGGTGCAAATTCGGGAGAGGGAGGACAGGAGGGAAGAGAGGCGTGGTCGGCGGAGGGGTTGAGTGAGGAGGGTCCTTGTTAGACGATGGGGCCGTTTCCTTGGGCGCGAGCATGAGATACCCAGATGGCCTCCTCTTACATAGATTGACGAGGATTTGACGACTAGAACGATGATTTCGACAATGGTTTGGAATGGCAATACCCAGCAGCACGGAGGCAATACCCCAAGTTTCTTTGCTTAGTTTTCGACAGCGACGCGTCTGAAAGGGAAATAGATTAAATGATGTGACGTATGGTTTGTAGAATACCGTAGGATCTAGAATAGTTGCAAACCCCCTTCCGTCTTGTTTGTTGTCTACGGCAAGCACGTGTCTGGAGGAGGAGCGAAGATTGCAGAGTCAGCAATGGCCAGCTTGTGTCATAGATGCAAACGCAAACATGACTGGTTACCGACCATGTGGTGGTTGACGTGTGCTACGTTACGCTGCCTCATCCAGCCGTTTGGAACCAGCTTTCTAGAAATCGTGGAGGCGTGCCTGAAACGGCTCTTATGAGACTTCACGAGGATTCAGATTGCTGTGAGTTTGCAATTTGCTTCCCCAGCTTCAAATGTGTAGATTTTGCCTCATCGCCTCTTTCTGAAGATTCGTCTCGAAGCAAACGGGCTTTAACGGATCAACAATGCCACCAAGCTTAGAGGAGCGCAACCATGATTCATAAAATTATCGTAACCTCTCCACATTTGAAGGAACGAGAAGACAGTCATGGCGATGCCAGAACAGACAGCAAGCCGATGACTAGGCCGCGAAACGACACAATCAGTACGTTGGGGCCAGACATCGCCCGCCCCTGTCATGGCGCCAATCATGACGCCCTCATTCCAGACAACCGAAGCGACGTTGACCTTGCACCAACTGGTACGTCGTGGCGAGGAAGGTCGGATAGCAGGAATGCTCATCGGCTGTCTCGTAGGCGGCATCGCCGCCGCGAGCCTCATATACTTCTGCTTCAACTGCGTCTTTTCTCCCAAACGACGCAAAAAGACGGCCCATCAAAGACAACAAGCACACCCTCATAAGCATCACATCCACTACGAACATCCACTGACAAGAACTGGCAGTGGCGCCCACATGCAATCCTCTGGACACCCGCATACTCACAGGTGGACGCATCATCACCACCACCGCCGCCACAGAAAATCTCGTCTTCATCACCATCATCATCATCACGCCAAGGGTAAGGCGAAACCCAAGAAGCATTGCCGCAAGCCAAACCGGAAGACCAAGGCGTCCAAGCCCGCACGCCATAGTAAACGCTCCTCGCAACATCGCGAGCCTGCGATACGCTTCATGCCCATGCCTCCCATGATGGCTATGCCTATACATCCAGCGCCGGCAGCTGGTATGGGAATGGGGATGGGTATGGGGATGGCTGCTGGGATTGTCATGCCGCTCGGCGACGGCTTCATCGACTACGGGCCGGCACCTGGTCAGGACATGGGATTAGAGATGGGATGTGGCGTGGACCCCAATTTCCGGCTAGAGCAGTTCGTCATGGAAAACGATGTCAACGGCGACAGGGAGGTGAGTTGCAACGAGTGTTGCTACTCCTTTTTCGATTCTTTATGCGGCATCCCGCCGGAGGCTCGGGATCTGAAAAGGGATGCTGCTGGCAATGAGGCTGTGATTATGGGTGACAATGAGATGGCGGCTGTGTAATATACATCATATGGCAGTATGGCTGAATCTGGTCTCTCGAGGGAGGCATGTTGCAAGGGTTGGCCGTTCTGAGTTGTGGTTTGGGAGTATATGCGAGTGAGTGGCCGAGGCAGGGTCTGGAGGCTGAATGGCAATGCTATTGGTCTTATAGAACCAAGGAAATACATGAATAGAGATACATTAGACGAAGAACAAAACATGTTAATTAATGATTGCACAGACCGCAAACGTACAACACCACTGGGCTCATTAGGAAAGTTAGTGGCGCCTGGGTTCGCCTTGGAATCCATCTGCCAACTCCCGCTCCAGACAAAACTGAAGCCACAGCATAATACAGCTCACTTCAGATTCTGGGAACCTTCTTCAATGTCAGTATACTGTATTCGATTCAGTACGGCATAACGCACTTGCTATTTCTTTGTTACAAGCCATCTCCCTGGTATCATCAGCCTCACATGAGTGAGAGCATACTGCCCACCGCCCAAACCTACTTCTCGGCAGGGGTCTCAGCCGGAGGATCGGCTGGGGGGTCGGCTGGAGCTGGAGCGTCGACTGGGGCGTCAGCTGGGGGATCGGCAGGCGCAGCGGACGGGGCGGCGGAGCGTGGGGCGGGGGGCGGAGCTGGAGGCGGTGGATGAGAAGCGGGGCCGTCGTCGGCCGAACTTTTGGAGCTCCTTGAGCTGTCGGACTTGTGGGAGTGGTGACGGCGACGACGACGTCGCCGGCGGCCAATCTTTTTGAGGGACACTCTGTAGTAATAGAGAAAGGCTCCCACGCCAAGGATAAAGATGAGGATGGCAACCCCGACCGTGATACCAACTGTCAGGTTAGTGGTTTGGCCACCGGATATGGAGACCTGTCTCCTCGCGATGGTGTTGTCGGCTTTGTCCGTACGCGCTGCTACCTCAAGGCTGCGCGGCCATGAAGGCGCGACGGAGCGCGGCTCTGTCCCGAGCCTGAAGCTCCTTGGCGCCCGGCCTTGGGAGGGCTGAGGGATATACATCCAATGCGACGAGTGGGCGGTTGGAGATGTTGGGTGGAGAAAGACAAGAGACAAATGGTGGTACAACAAGGTGATCAAAGTATCACGAGACAGGGAGTTCGGAATCGTACAAAAAGAGTAGTCTGGGGCATGATGAATTTGGAAGCAACCGAAGCAGGACGGCCTGCATAGCAAATTGTCAAAGGTCCACGAGACATATTTAACTTCAGCGTTCTTTGGGCTGCCATGTGATGGGCAAGATGAACGGGGGGGCTGACGGTGTAGCTGGCAGCTCGCCTGAGTCGAAGGAGGTTCCGTGGTGAATCCGAGAGGACGACACCGGGGGCGCATATGCAAGAGTGGCATCGTGCAGCGAATGCGGAGGTGAGAAGGGAGTTATAAGACTGTATATCCGCTTCAAACGAGCAGCAAAGGGCGACCCAGATGCAGTAGACTTAGGAGCAGGCTGGGCGCGATTATGCGCGGTCCATGCAGCTGCCAAACCAATGAACCGGTGGTAGGCGTGGCGATGGTCCCCTACCGCAGCGGTTCCCGCACTCGTCGGGCCGCTCGTAACCCAAGGTATAGGTAGTCTCTCGAACCCATTGCTGGTGGTGTCGTGGGGGACACTTTCCACCAGTCACGTCGGGTGAGGCTTTCGTCTCCAATTCATCTGTAATGGGCTGATGGCCTCTTGCTGATGGCGGCGACTGCACTGGCTGGCCTGACCGGATTGTCTTCTTCTTGAAGGTTCGGTAGTAGGCCCTCCAGAGTCATCTTTTGCGCTATCTGACGTGATAAGTGAGCAACGAGCTGTGCGGTTGGAGGCAAAGACGGAGATCGTAGATGGCTGGCTGGTTGGGCATCAAGACCATCAAGGGGCTAACTAGTACCCGCCGTCCGGATGAGCTCGCGATCGAACACGTCAACAAGTGCCAAAGGCTAATTGAGGCCTGTCTGGAGGAAGCAGCGGGGGTTGAAGGGTGTTTATCGTGAAAAAAGAGAGTCGGTGACGGGGGATGCTGGCGGATGGATCTCACGATGGGTCCTATTCAGGTGCCAGCTCACTTCGAGGGCAGCTACGGGCAGCTTGGAGATCTGGGGGATCTTGAGGGGACGGACGGTGTGGCGGCTGGCTTACTTAATTAGGCGGATGACTCAGCTGTGCCAGTCCGTCGTTTCCTGTCTTGTGTTCCTCTTCATCGAAACCACTCGCCGATGCCACTTTCTCCCAAAAACGTCATTCTTGTTCTCCAAGTCACGACTCTGCCTCCTTTGGATCTGAAGCATCTTCAACTCTTCCATCATGGCGCAATCTCGACTTCTGAGAAGGTCTTCCTGGGTTGGGCAGACAGGGCGAACCGGCAGCGATCTCCCAGCCAGTCGGCCTACACCATGAGCCGCCGTGCAGCTGCACCCTGCAGTCGTCTGCAATCTTTCGTCCTTGACCCAATTGGGCATCACATCCTGCCGCCAAACGACATTCTGAGCTATTGTATCGTCACTCGGATACTCTGAAAGAGACTCTGAGCAAGTGCCATGTGTCTTCCATGTACAATGTCTTGCAGCTAGGACAAGAATCCAAGGATGACCCGCCTCATGCCAGGGCATTGTGCTGGGACTCGGAAGAAAGAGCCATTGCTATTTTCACTTACACGCAACAGCACCATATTCTCCCTTCGAACCCATTGTCTCTTTCTTGTTGAAGCTGTCTGGCCGCCGCAACCAACCGCCATTCCGACGACACAGCATCTTGAAGACTGAGACGTCTGTTATTCACCTACTTTCGAATACAGCCAAAGAAAGCATTGATCATTGGCCTTTGCTGACCTCTTTGAAGGTAGCAACAATTCCTGGGCATCTCTCGCGGTTCTCCCGACTGGCTTGATGTTTCTTTGTTGCCAGGCGGCTTTGAGCTCGCGAGTTGGATACTCGAGCTAAGCAGCTTGTGGTTCCTACTCACTTGTTGTTGTTGTTATCATTCTTAAACATGCAAAATAACCAAGCTGCCCTTCAATTTGCCCCCTTTCCTGCTGATACTTTAGATCTTACCGAAGGACTGCTCGACACTGTCACCGCCCTTTGCATTTACCATGTGTATCCTTCTCAAGAGAAACTTCAAGTGCTTTCCACGCGGGGCGTTCTCGCGGCATTCCTTTCGGTATCTTGTTCGATGCGCCAGCCCGAGATATTCCGAGTGTGTATACTCGGAAGCTCTTGTCCGCGTCTCAGAGGACTACGATACTCCCTGCCCTCAATGCTCCGGCAAATTCCTTCAGCCATCGGCCCCGCCAAAGCGATTCAGTCAAACTTTTGTCAATGAGGATGGCTTAGAAGCACAAGTAGCCACAGTGGGATATGTCAAATCCATGGTCGAATTTCTCATCATGTCATTGAATTCCACGGAAAAAGAAATCAGCGATGCAGATGATCAACATATCTTCCGAGTTAGCAAAATCGAGACAGCCTGCCGCTTCAACAAGGACCATGTCGCAAATGGTGCCTACTGCGAATGCTTGGAGAACGACAATGCCACCAAGGAGTTCAATACGAACAGGGAGACCGAACTCCATAACACCGCTGCGGCTATGCGGCGGGTCGTCTCCCAGGGATATCTGTTCCCTTTTCGAGGGTTCTGGATCCTGCCTAATAGTCGTCGGGAGAGGAGGTATTTTGAAGCCAACACCCAGAGACCGCCGAATGAAGGACAGCTTGATCCGGCTTTTCCATCTTTCAATCAATGCACTACATTCCACCTTACACAGCCCGACTTGAACTTTCTGGATAATATTGGCAACCAACTACTCCGCGAAAGTAACTCAGTTACAGTTATACCTGTTCTTCACAGCAATCATAATGTTGCCGCGCGAGTTCGAGAGTTTGGGACCCAGATGAGGGACACAATTACGTCTTTGGGCGGGAGAGACCAATGGGAACGCGCTTACATCCACTCTACCGATCTGGCGGTGATCACTGCTGAACATACCGCAGCCGAATATGATATGCGCATGCAAGTTTGCGGTCTCGTTTCGCGCCTGCTGGGTCACGACCCAGGGCTAACTATGGAACGAATCATCTCCATTGGCCGGGTGTTCCGAGAATTCTTGCAGGTTGACGGGTCCGCCATGATAAACAATCTGCCCCAAGAACTGAAAAGATTGTTTTCCAGACTCTTGTTGACGGCCAGATATGCCCTTGTTCACAGGATGTATCCGTACGGCGGCATGATGCTCATCAACCCCAGCCAGTACAACCATACAGAGTACACTCTCCTGCGCAACCATAAGATGAGGTTGAATGACGAGTTCCACAAACAGGGCGCCATCGAGAGTGTCGTCACGCCGCTTAAGGAGGCAGAGGTCCAGGGTCTGGACCCGGACGACGCGGATTGTCCTATCTGCGCGGAGCCTGTCGGGACTGGGAACGATCCCCACGCGGGTATGCGCATCAAGTGCAACGCGAACCACGTGGTAGGAAAGAACTGCTGGATGAAGGCCCTTCGCTGCAGGCGACAGGAGTACATGGAGGGGTTGAAGTGTCCCATGTGCGGAGACTTCAAGCTCAGTGACTGGGGTGCACCGATTCATCACAGGGAGCTCTGGGCTATCGATGTAGTCTCTAAGACCGCGGCTGAACTGGGCGCAGAGCAGAGTGCTGATCCTGACATCTAGAATGGACTATGGGTATTGCTTGCTGGCGTTGATCATAGTCGGTCATGGGTGGGACATTTCACAGCAACGTTCTGATTTTCAAATTAGACGCGTGTGGGCTACCACTCGGGGAGCTGTAGGTGTTGGAGGGTTTAACACAGGTCGACTCAAATAAAGTGTGCTTAGCTATCTATTTACTTCAATTATCCTTGATGAGATTCCAGTAGCTTTCGTTGATGCTCGAGAGTTGCCACCGCGAACTCTACAAAATTCCTGAAAATATACGCGATGCGCAACTGAAGAGCTCTTTGCTGGGATGCGGCAAGAGGTCAACTTAAATTACCGACTTAGATCCAGTTACATTAAAGGTTTCTATTACTATGTGAAGCAGCTTGGCAGGAGGCTTTTGTTCTATGACCAGAAACTTTAGAATACAGCCGACCCCTCGCTTCCGCAGGTTGAACAAACGATCGGGCCGAGTCTCTTTGACTTATGATGATACCGGGTCAGGTAATTTGCAAACCTTCATTGTAAGTATTCATCCCTTACGTGTCATACGTCCATCCCTCTTGAATCCAGACTTATTGCATGGCATAATATATAAACCATGCTCCGCGGAGAGACTTCCCAGTCATATCGGGCATCTGCAAGACCGCCATTTTCTCTTCCTCACTCACTTCAGTCTGCTGAGCTTCCCACTTTTCAGCCATATTTACCCAGATTGAGCCTGGATATTTTTGCAAAGACCACCTTGCCTGTTTCTACAATCTTTCAATCAGCACTGTCATGTACGTCTCCTCCCCCCGCCGCCGCCGCGCTGTCCCTCCAAACCCGATCCGCATCCGCCGCCACGCCAATAGCCCCCTCTCCGCCGGCCGAAGTCCCGTCCCATGGACGCCGGACCAACCGACTCCTCCGACGGGACGATCCGCCGAGTTCTCAACATTCCCCGTGAGCCCCGCGTCTCCGGCCATGAACTCTGCGACAACGGACGAAGACTGGTCGCCGCCGCCATCTGCAGAGTCCACTGACTCTGTCAAGTTCACGGGGTGGAGACGAGCGGACGGTAGGCGGGGTGCGGTGGGTATTAGTGCCGGCGTCCTGCCCAAGACATATACTAGCACACCTGTTGTTGGCCGCTCTGGATCCGTCCTGGCTGGTGGTAGGATCGGGGTTTCAAAGTTGAGCAGTATCCAGGAGTTTCTATACTCCCCTGGGCTCTCTGGATCGCCTAGGTCGTGGCGGTGGTGGAAGGGTGAGGGATACCGGAGGATAAGTAAGATTGACGAGGAGGAGGAGAGCGAGAGTGAGACTGACAGTGATGAGGGTATGACTCCGGACTGGAAACTGGAGAGGGTTCAAAGAAGGAGAACACTGGGATTCAAGACATGCGTTTGTCACGGGGGTAGCCGCGCGGAGTCACTGTTGTGGTGGAGGTACCCGCTGGTGGTTCTGCTGCTGGCCCTCTTCTGTATGTTTGTTCCCTACTGGAAGGGGAGGAGCTGAGCCAGCCACGGTGTTATTGGCATTTTAATTTTTGCATTTGTCTCGGAGAAACTGGCTTCTCTGAACTTTCTTTGGTCTCCGGGAAAATATCAAGAGTCTTGGTCAGTGGTCAGTTGGGGCCGTCTCAACAAGGTAGACTGAAATCGAGGGCTGTTGCTGTCTCTAGAAGTTTCCAAGATTCTCAGGGTGTTCCGTTCCTTCCCAGGGAAACTTTCAATGTTGGGTGTTTTGTGGATGCTTGGAGGGAAGGAGCCGAGGACGATGTCTTCCTCCCCAGCAAGGTTCGATCTCTACCAGGAAGGAGCCAGGCACCAAGGTGGTCACCGCCTCCTTCCCAAACCAACCACGCTCCTATCTACTTAGCCAACAGAAAGGCAGTCCCTACCAGCAGACATCCAGTACATGAGTGCGTGGCTCAATTGGATAGTTAGGAGGACAAAAACATACCCGTGCAAGCAGGGCCTCTGCGACACCTGGCGGGCGCTCTTGTTCGACTCCCCCTGCAGGAATAGAGCGTTGAACAGACCCCCCCGTCTGTTCGTTTTTGTATATTTCAGCATTTTGTATATGCACTTTCTTATTTTTTTGCTTTCGATTATTTTGCTACTTGTGAGGATGCATCCCCTGGTGTTTCTGGAAGCATAGGTGCTCGAATGGTGGAACGGCAAGCGTCCAAGTATGGCGATTACCCTACGACATGTAGGCCACGTCTAAAAGAATAACGGAAGGAAGGCATATAGATCAAGGTAGGGATTAGTGGTTTACTTGGAAAGAAGGGCAACTTACTCTGCTTACTTGCTTAGATTTGAAATGTTCATCCATGGAACGGTTCTACATCCTCTCCGGTGACAGTACACCATTTCGCTCAACCTCGAATTTGACATCACCATACCTTGCAGACATATCTAAAAGCTTACGCCCTCAGCATCATCACATCATTTGCTCAACCAACAACATGACAGACCTACACACCCGGCCGTTCTCCCACATCGGAGGCACTTCTGGCCAGCTTCTCGACCGCCTCGCTGTCTCTGAACTCTGCAAGGGCTGGCCGGTCTACCGTGACGCAAGCGAATGGGCAAACTACCGCTCCCTCTTCACCAAGGATGCCTACGTCTGGACCAGTGCGTTGAGTCATCGGTCCCCCCTTGGGCCATGATGCCACCCGTCTCCCAAATGCCCTGTGTTGTTTGCTGACGCCATCACGTGTGACACAGCTTGGAGTGGTGCACAGCCAATCGACGACTTCATTCGCATCTCCATCGCCGGCAAACTGTCCGGCGCATTCATCATGCATCGCGAATGCGGCACCCTCGTCGAGTTGAACCCTGAGGCGGACCGCGCCGTGGGCAAGATGAAGGCCACTATCACCCAACGCTTCAAGCACCCAGACGGCTACGAGTACGACGTCGACTGCGACTGCCGCTTCCTCTTCTTCTGCGAGAAGGAGACAGGAGGACAAGAAGGTGATGATGCTGGGGAAACCGAGGAGAAGGAGATGAGGAGGGATTGGAGAGCTGCGTACGTCAAGCTTGTCTATGAAAAGGACAAGATTGTTGCCGTGGACGGGATCAAGGCACCCGTTTTTGCGGACGACGTGTTGGCGAGATATCCTGCGGGATACAAGTACCTTGGAGCTGCGCAGAGTACTTTGGGATACGAGATTGATGTCAAGCTTGTCACGGGAGGGGATGGGAGAGCTTGCTACAAGATGTACCAGAGTATAGAGAGGTGGTTGGAGGGGCCCATGGTTCTGTTGGCCTTTTCGGGCAGAGTTGAGCGACACCCATATTAACCCGAGTAGAATACTCTTGATCACAAGATCAAAGCATGATATCAGCATCACTAGCTAGCTAGACCTCGGAGTCGAGACTTGAGGCCGTGGCGTCTTGGTCTCGAATAGTTTGGCTGCTCAGCTGGACCTTTAGGAAACAGCATCATTAGCAGATTATACCTACTTAGGTAGTAAACGAAGACGAGGTGTAAGAAAAAAACCGCTCGAAGCATCAGCTCTTTGTAAAAATCAATCGAGAAGGGTTATATGAAGATCAGCACACGCACTACCCAGTACCTACTACCATGATATAAATGGAGAAAGGTCGTTCAAATAGTGCAAGTTGTTTGCACACATCGACACGAGCCATGCATAAAATTTCATAGTGCTTAGCTAAGAGCGCATGGCGCCATCACAGGCTCACGAGGCGGTTCCTACTGTTAGATTTGTTTCTTCTTGGAACATTTCACCGGCCCAAGACATGAGCTGGTTTGATTCCCAAATGTTTCAACCACGGTCGGGTAAGCGGGTACGGTCTGACGCAGCTCACACGAGAGAGGAATGTTGGCGATCGTGTAGTGGCGTTGTCTGTGTGTCAATGAATACATATCGGCTCTGCGGCCAGGTCTAGTCGGCAGGCTAACGGGGGTAGGCTTCGAACGCTTCGGGTCTTCGGCGTCGTCCTTGAATAGCAATACTCCATAGCATTACTCCGTCCTGAGTAAGTAAGAAAGAAAACAACACAACGAGGACAAGTTGAGTGTTCAGTTCGACGGTGCGTTTCCTTACTTACATGCATGTACGCATATGTAAGTGTGACATTGGGCGGGAGACCGAGCACAATGGAAGAGTCAATCAAGAGATAATGGGCAGCGAGAGATGGGACGACGGACGGGACGACACCGGGGGAAGGAACCTGCCCGTGTCTATGCATCGTCCGTTCTCCCCCCTGCGTCAGCCAAAGCGCTGGTTCGTCCAATAAGGAGGCTTCAGGTGCATGCATTGGCTGAGAGATCTTCAGGTCCTTCCAGCAAAAGTGGAGGCGGCCCCAGCGTGGCTGGCTAAAGCCTGGTTTTTCCACCCACTGCCGCCTCAGGTTTCAACTTGCCACCTCTGGTTCGATTCAGCCCCGGAAAACAGACTTGGACACTCCGACGCTGGACTGGCACCACGATCCACAGGACGGGGGCCTTGCCTTGCCGCCTTTCGAGTCTTGACTCTCGAGTCTCGAGTTCTCCTTTCACGTGACTTCCATGTCGCTTGTACCTCAACACCCTGGCCGGGCTCTCCTTAATTTCGTGACGTGCCAATACGACTGTCATTGTTTTCCTCCACTCTTTTCTTCTCTCTAATCCATTCCCGTCTTCCCTCCTTTTGTGTTTTATAGACATCTTTGTCCCACCCGTTGTCGACTGCTTTTTTGACCTGTTTACTTTTTTACTCTTCCCAGTCATTCTTTCTGGTCCACGACAACCACCAACTCTTTACACTCTTTTTTCATTATAGTCACAGCCAAAAAACAGTCTCTGAACAACGCAAAAGGTCCTCCCAGTCCGCCCTTAAGCACTACTACTCCCTGGGACCCTCTCCTCCGTCGATTCTGCACATCATCGACCAAACGCGCAGCTTTCTATTTTCACGATCGTTTAGCACATTAATCCAATCAAAATGAAGGCCTCCATCTCCCTCGCTGCCCTCGCTGCCCTGGCCGCCACTGCTGAGGCTCAGAACTACTTGGGCTTCAACTCCGGTGCCACCAAGGCCGACCGCTCCGCCAAGTTCAAGGCCGACTTCGCGGCCGAGTTCAAGACTGCTCAGGGACTTGTCGGCGCCCCCGGCGACTTCAACGCTGTCCGCCTGTACACCAACATCCAGGCCTACTCCACCGAGGATCCCATCGAGGCTTTCGAGGCTGCCATTGAGACCAAGACCTACATCCTCCTCGGTATCTGGACCTCCGGCACCGACAACATTGACAAGGAGATCAACGCCCTGAAGACCGCTGTCACCAAGTACGGCACCAAGCTCACCGACCTCATCATCGGTGCCTCCATTGGTTCCGAGGACCTATACCGCAACTCCGTCACCGGTGTCAAGAACAAGTCCGGCGTCGGTGCCGACCCCAAGACCATTGTCGGCTTCATCGACGACTTCAAGACCGCCTTCAAGGGAACCCCTCTGTCCAACGTCCTCATCGGCCACGTCGACACCTGGGACGTCTGGGGAAACGCCACCAACAAGCCCGTCCTCGACGCCGTCGACTGGGTTGGCGTTGACGAGTACCCCTACTACGAGAACGGTAAGGGCAACACCATTGACAACGCCGCCAGCCTTTTCGATAAGGCCTTCGATGCCACCAAAGCTACCGCCGGCGGCAAACCCGTTTGGGTCACCGAGACGGGCTGGCCTGTTACCGGCGAGACTTGGGATGAGGCCGTCCCCAGCACCAAGAATGCCCAAAAGTACTGGCAAGAGGTTGGTTGCCGCACGCTCTTCAACAAGGTCCCCACCTTCTGGTACAACCTTCGCGACTCCAACCCCGACAACTCGATGAAGTTCGCCATCACCAAGGACCTGTCCACCACCCCTCTGTTCAACCTCACCTGCCCCACCACGTTCGACACTCCCTCCAGCACCAAGACTGCTTCTGTCTCCGGCACTGCCACTGCTAAGCCCAGCACAAGCTCTGGCGCCAGCTCTAGCGGTAACAGCACCAGCGGCGGCTCAGGCTCCGGCTCCGGCTCTGGCAGCGGCTCTGGCAGCGGTTCTAACTCGACCGTCTCCACTGCCGCTCCCTCTGCCACCTCCGGCTCCGGCTCCGGTTCCTCGGGCAGCGGATCCGGCTCTGGTGCCAGCGCCAGCAGCAAGCCATCGGCCGTTGCTGGCTCTGGCGCCGCTGGCCTCCAGGCCCTCACCACTGGTGCTCTGGCCGTCGTTGCCGGCGCTTTCGCTCTGCTCTACTAAGAGAGAGTAGTGCTATTTTGGGTCGAATTTTTCTAGCGCATTGGCAAGGTGTCTTTTGATTCCCCCTTCTGGACATGTGTTTTTCGGTATCATAATCATGGATAGATTTGAGGATAGACTGAAGAAGAAAAACTGTGATTAATCCATACACTCATTCTTGAATAATGTGCAGATAAACCCTATAGTGACGAATTGTGTGAAGAATTGTGTGTGACGACCTTTGAAGAAAGTATTGATACAGTTTGTGTGACAACACGGTTCACCGTTCACCGAGCTAATCGCGTCATACAGGGCTCGAGCCAGGACTGTGCTGTTTCCTTACCGACGTACCGAACAAATAAACGACTCGGTTGAGGTGTGCGGGCCGCACGGCATTGCCTGACGTTGATTTGCGATGCAATTAGGCAAAGCGCAGTGGCGGGTTGGCAGCCAAGCCGGCCAGGAGGAGCCTGCTCGAGTCCTCCCACCCTCCCCCATGATTCCCATCTCACCCCCCCAGAAGTTGGGAAATGAGATGATGCTGATCACTCCCCACCACAAGGGGGCCGCACTTGGTAGGCACTACGTAGGTAGGTAGGTTACGAGGTCTGGACCGCGAGCGGCTCCGTCTCCATCTCTGGTTCGTATTCCCTCTCCCGTTCAGGACCCAGGGGATGTTCCCCGCCGACGAAGCGAGAGGAGGTGAACTGGTGGAAAAAGAGGGAGAGCGGATTGCAGATTGCAGACACATACGGATACCACCCGTACGAATGCACAGTGAGACACGGTATCCGGGGACGGAGTGGGACTTGAAGAGAGACGAAAGAGGAAAGGTATTTCCATATTTCCACATATTCAGGCGCAGTGGGCGAGCTAAATTTAGGTACCTAGAGCTTGGACCGAGTCTTGTTGGTGGTGGTGGTGGTGGTGGTGGTGAGTGTGCCCCGTGGATTGGCTCATTGGGCGGAATTTCTGGCACCTGGGAGAGACGGCTTGGGGGTTCGCTGTCGCACCGTCGGACGCCGTCGTTGGGCATTCTTTGGTGCTGCTGGTTCTCCGTATTTGTGTGCACCACTCGGAAATGTTTATGCGAATTCTTTCATACGGAGCAGCATGAAGTTAGCTCCAAGCACACGAAGACGGATACAATGTAGGTTTACGTCTACGTACTCTTTCCCCAATTGTCGAAGCCCGCCAGCGGAGCCAGTTCAGGTACGGGACGAATCAAGTCGTTGGTGTACCTGGCGCTAGGCCAAAGACGGAGTCGAGAGTTCAACGGCACCGGCAGGAAACAGAGAAGAGGAGAAGGGAAAGAAAAAAAAAAAAAAAAACTTGGCAGTGCCTGCTTGCCTTGGACTTGGGAGAAAGGGAG